TTTCCCCTGTTTTATTCAAACAGATACACTAAATTACTGTATGTAAATAGGTTGAGGTAAACAAATTCTACCCACTTAGTGAAATGATGTGTCTAATTTATTTATAATTATAAAGCCACTGACTTGTACGACATCACCCACAGGCAGTCTGTGGGCTCAAAGTTGCTCCAAAGTCTTCAAATATATGTACTTAAGGTCTACACTGTGAAACAAAGTCTCTCTCCTGGGTAGCCAGGCCACTCATGTACGTTACTAATGGTGTCCGCCGTGTATTAATTTACACGGCGGTTGAATCTGCTTAATTATTTATTGCCAAGTTAGTAGGGAGTGAAGGTCGAGGTATAACAGGGACAGTGCTTATAAAACCCTTCAGAATCAGATGGAGCTTGTTTATTATTAATGAATATAAACCGTAACAGAATCTTGTTTTTGCTTCCCCCGTACTTGTGTTGCAATCAATGAGAACATAGATAGGGACTTAAACATATGGTATAATTACATAGGATAGTAATTAGGACACTATCTCGCATGAGATGTTTGTTCCCCCAGTTAAACTCCGCACGTGCAAATGCATGATTTTCTACTCGACTGTAAAATATAATTATTGTTTTCTAAAGCCCTTCTTTTCTGTTCGCTTTTAGTCTCTTAAAACAGCCAAATGAGGACAACCATTCAGCTTATAACTATTTTTAATGGATATTTAAATGTTGACGCCTGTTTTATTTCTGTGTAGAACATTTCAAACTGGTTTCTGTAGCCATTTAAATGCTGATTCTCATTTAGAACCATGGGTGTAGTGTTCTTCAGTGACGTCCCGGTGCGCTCTGACTAAAGATCTGTACAGTGTTTCCACTTTATATATTTAATGAGCTCTGCTGCTTAACTGTCACACAATCAAAATATCCTCTGTAAACGAGTACCAGTGTCCGGCGCATGCACATACACACACATAAGCCAATAAACACACAGAGATAAGCAGGGCAGAGTGAACACACATCTCCACAAGGACAGACAGAGGAGGATTTTAATTCAGGAAGTTACTGTAATATTGATACAAATGAAAAGAATAAATCAGGAAACTGGTTTGAAATCTCATGTCATTATTTTATGAAGAATAATCATGTATTGTCTATTGTTTAAGTTCACATAGTTAAGTCATTACTGTGACAAAACAGTATTTGACCCGCAATGTGTTTCAGTGATAAAACATGAGACGATGCTTTTGCTAAAAAGGTTAGAAGGAAGCCTGCTCTAGTAATTTAGCAATTTTAGTGATCAAATAAAATTAAACACAGTGAACCGTTGTGTGTGGACAGCAGTGCGCTCTGCACGCTGGTGCTGCACTTCTCTGGCTGCAGCATGAGGTTATAAGTCAAGGAGCTTTTCCTACGATAAAGCAGTTCACTATGCTGCTTTGCCGATTCTGGCTGGAGTGTGAATGGACAGCGGTTACATATCCTTCAAAATGAGCCAGAATTGTGGCTCAGGTGCTCTCCGGTGTTTGTAGACATAGCACTACACCCCTGTTTAGAACAAAAGATGAGAATCAGAAAAAAAACGACTGTATTCTCATAAAATCTTGACTGTACTGTAGGACTCAACCAACGTCTCTACTATAACTAACTACTACTACTCTATATTTGGGAGATATGAGCGCTCCCCTGCAGGTCACTGACAATAGTTGCCGATTCCGTGTAACAAGTTTTAAAACAGCAATTCCTTGCCTATCCCTGTAACCAGCCTTAACAGCCAGAGGCAGTGGTGTTGGAGCTGCCTGTGGTTCGTATGAATAATATCAAACCCTGCTTCTCACTGTGCTGGCCTCTGAGCTGCTCTGGGCTCACAGTGGGAACACCGACTATCTTCACAGCCTGAGCGCTTTTGGCCAGACTTGAGTAGAGACAGAGAAAATGGCAAGAGGTAGCGAGACAAAGAGAGAGAAAAGGATTTACAGAAGCCTTGAGGTTGGCTTTGTGAATCGGGGGAGGTGAAGTTACAGGAAAAACGTTCCCTTCCTGCAGACATTTGCAGTAAAAGAAATCTCCCTTAAAAAAAACAAAATTCAGTAACAAGTCAAAGGTAATTGAGGACCAGAGCCAGGCTATGCAAATGCCCTAGAAATGTTTAACCAACTACAAAACCAAGGTAGCCAAACGGTGATTGTATTATTTAGACCAGGGCTTTTCAATTGGCGGCTCGCGGGCCAAATCCGGCCCCGGGGTGATATTTACTGGCCCTTTGAGAATAATGTTAAAAAGTAATCTACTTTTTTTTTGGGCCAGAGTGCCTTTATTCCAGAGAGGGTGTTAAATTGAGAGATAGAGGGGAAGACATTGCCTGAAAACCTCTGTGGGCTCGGGTTTCGAACCCACCTACTAGCTACTGTAGTGACAACTCCTACCATTTATTGCATCTCTGCGTGAATGATTAGATCATTTCACCTCAATGAAATCAAATGAAATGATGTTGATGGTTAAATCAGCTTCACATGTAGGCCTACTGAGTTCTGAGCCATTTAGATCTAGAAAGGCCTTGGGGCTATGTTGTTTGATTTAATTCAACACAATATATGCACTCCACTATGCTGTTGTAGTATTTACTGTATCTGAAGCTCTTAATGTGATTGCTCATATTTCAAGCCATCTTTTTCCCGGCCCCTTGCTTTGGATCATTTTCATCAACCGGCCCCCATTCCAAACTAATTGAATAGCCCTGATTTAGACAATCTGGTGAGATAGCTCAAAGCTCAGTACTGTTAAGGAGAGGTGCGGGAATGAGTCTTTAAACTCAGAAATGTGTTAACATTTTACCATTTCTGGTTTCCTCGTCTCAAAGGCGAAGTTTTTTTGAACGTGTTTGTGGTTAAATGCCTGAAACAAGATCTTTGGTTAACAAAAACGTAGGAGATTGTTCTGATTTGTTCTAGGAATTACGATAGGTCAGTAAATTCCCAACTCGTACATCTCCGAAGGTTCACTGTGTCGTAAAAACGTGACTAAATGAGACAACCAAACATCACATCATTCTTAAAGTGGTTCATGTGAAGTCATCTGAAGGTGATGTAGTTTATTTATAGCCTAACATTAGCTTTTGACTTTTTCCTACTTCATATTAAACATATTTGACAAATCATATCCAATGGAAAAAGCCCATTGCTTTTGTCTCGAGCGAGGCTTTGCGATGCTAACTTTCAATGCAAATAGTGCCATCTGGTTTGTCATAACTTTTGTTAAGTGATATAATGTCCCAGAATAATTGCAGCAATTAATGATATTGTCATTTCAAAACTCTGATATATTGATCTACATAATGTCCATTTATCCAAAAAATAATTTCATAACATAAAAAGGAATGCAGTCATGTCCTGATTTCGTATGATAAGCCCCTTATGGAATAATGCTTGTAGTCATGCCTATATATTGTACAACATGTCACTAAAGTAAAAGGGTCGTAGTCATGTTCATTTATCGTACTTCAGATGATAATGTGAAGATTATCAAGGTCTTTTTTGTAGGTCTTTTTTTTTTGTGTCCTTTAGATTTTGTTGGGAATGTTCAAGAACAATTATGTTCTTTCTTTTTTGGGAGGAGGGGGGTTTTTCATTAAGACATACATATATTTATCACTGCCAAGGTGCCCATTGAGCAAGACTGCTGACCTTTTAACTACTAGAGCAGCCCCATGATTCTTACATCCCTGCAACAACTGTTATCTATATCTATTTGGCCTTGTGCGTGTGTGAAAAATAACCATAGAGTGAAAAAACGATTCTTCCTCTTCACAGCCTGATAGTAGCCTTCCCACTTCAAACAAGCCTGTTGTTACCTGCTCTATTACTAGAAAAATAAAGAGCTTTTTGAACATTAAAGCCTGGAGACATGTCAGAGTAGAGGCACATAATACAAATATGAACCTGAAAATGAGCGTAATATGTCTTCGTTCAGTTAAACTGCATAGGTGTACTCAAAATAAATGTATCACCTTCAATTCAATTGATTCTCTTCAAAATCAACATAATTAACACATCTAAAATTGAACACCTAGATAAGCTATCCAACATTTTAATATATGGGCCCTGATGGTAAACAGAAAGAACATTAACCAAATAGCTTAAAAATAAACTCATCTAACCTTATACTAAATGGTCCCAAAACATGAATTTCATCAGTCTGAACTTGGTTTAAAATATGTAAGATAGAATAAGCTCAGACACTTTAGAAGGGAAGATAATGCTAGAAATTAATTGCATTTCAGAGTAAAGTACACTTGTTTGTAAAGGTCCTCACCCACTTAGTTTATTCAAGCGTTGACATATTTTAATCACTGCTGCCTAAAGCAGACGTAGATTAAAACATTTTCTATTATCTTTAAAGGTCACCTATTATGCAAAATCCACTTTTTCATGTCTTTTATACATAAACATGTGTCCCCTCTGTGGAAAGAGATTCTGAAAGTTTCAGGAAAAAATATTCGCTCTCTTTTTGTCCTGATCCATTTATATAAAAACCTGTCTGAAAATGAGCTGATCAGATTTTGGCCACTTTATGATGTCATAACGTTTTTTTGGCTTGTGTTACCATTAGCCAATCACCAACCAAGGTAACCCCCCCCCACCTTATCACCTGAATCTCCTCCTAGAGCACCATTGAGTTATTTTGAACCAAATATCTCAGAGGGGCGTGGGGAGTGGCTCCTTATTTTCATCAGTTGCTGAAACAGAGGGTATTATGGGATGCTACAATGATCTGTTTGGTGTTTGGAGCCAAACACTTCAGAGACATGTTTTGTATATATCTGAGACCTATAATATATTGATGAAATAGAGTATAGTAGGGGGCCTTTAAATCTCTTTCCATGCCTGTGGACTTCTGCAAACAACATTAAAGAATGTACATTTCATTTTACATGTTTACTTTCACTGCTTCATTGTTGGTACAGTTAGGCAGACGGACCTTTATTAGCTCTTCAAACTCTCACATTCCTCTCTTCCTGTCCTCTAGATGCCAAAGCCTGCCCCAGCGGTGAGTTCATGTGCGGTAACCGTAAGTGCTTGGCCACGGTCTACGTGTGCGACGGGGACGATGACTGCGGGGACGGCAGTGACGAGCTGAAGTGCTCCTCCCCTCTGACCTGCGGGCCCAACCACTTCCGCTGCAACTCCTCCGAGTGTGTGCCGCTCATGTGGAGCTGCGACGGGGACCCCGACTGTGCAGACAGTTCAGACGAGGGGCCGGAGCGGTGCGGTGGAGACGGGGTCCCGTACCTGACCAATCGCCGGACTAACTGCACCACGGAGGAGTTCCGCTGCGCCAACGGGGAGTGTGTGCGGCTCGCATGGAAGTGTGACGGAGACCCAGACTGCAAGGACAAGTCGGATGAGTTTGAATGCCGTGAGTTCCTCTTTTCTTTGCATTTGTTTCAGGAGCTATACATTCTTCGTTGTGTAAAGGCTGTCCCTTTATTTATGTGTGAAAGGCAGTTTTATCTGACTGAAAGGGTGTACGATTGGAATATGTTAATGGACTTAGTTTAGGTATAGATTCAGTACAATAGAGAAGTAAAACCATAAAGCTGTGTTTCCATTCAATATTACAACATGCTAGTTCCAAACAGGTGTAAAGCATGTCGTCTCCAGAGGTGTAGTGTCAAAAGCTTATTTAGTTGGCCTATGAATACATCAATATGTACGAATAAGTAAATTCATTTTCATAACTGCAAAACATTGAATACATTTGATGTTGTGGTAAAACACCTTGACAAAGATACAAATATTACATAATATATATACAATCTTGAGAAAAACATCAAGCTTTGCCGTTCGGCACACAAATATGATCCCGAAAATGAGCAGAATATCGCCACTTTATGAATAAATGTAGCACTATGACACTTTTTTCATTCTTATGTGAGTGTAGTCTTATGTTCTTGTTATAGTATGAAGCAAAGATGCTGCTCCAGGGGACCCCCAAATTAGTACAACTTCTTCAACATGCAAAATTATTCTTGCAAGCTAAGGAGATTATTTTCACAGTATTATTAATACCCTGAAAATGTGCATTGCAATACGCTATATTTCATGGATTTTGGGGAGAAAACAAATATTCCCATGTAAAATCACACACCCCGTTGTGGCCTGAATGGAGTGGTCCGTGTTGTTTCCTTGTGTCATGAGAACATTTCACTACGACTGTGAGATTGGCAGCGCAATATGTCTGTTTGGATCAAATCATTGAAAAACTACTCAGAATCAAACGGGGTGTGAAAAGTATGTCAAGATAAGTGTGCTTCACAGAGGAAACATTCTCCACAAACAATATTTCATCTGCTTTCTGAGTTGTCATTTAGCACATTCCCGCCCTGCTGGAGTTGGGGACGTTTTCTTAATTCTAAATGTGTCTGGTAAAGGGTGTGTTTCTGTTGATAAACACAGTGTGAAGATGGGGCCTTGTGATAAAACAGGTTTTCCTATTAGCCGGTCATGGATGGGGGCGCCCCGAAGCTTCTGTCTCACTAAGCCAGAGTGTGAAGCCCAGATAGTCCCACCATTCATTATCAAGATGTGTGGTGCACACATCAAACGCACCTCTCACTCTCTGCGGTGTCATATACGCAGCACTTATAGGAGATTGATGTTTTGTTCAGCAGCTGCTTTAGGAGAGGCTGTTGGTGGCACAACCTCACATTTGTTCAAAGCTTATTGTGGTTACCATTTTCTGTAGTCACCTGCTTTCATGTCAATGCAGATATTTGTTTCTAACATTGTTATTAATAGGCTAAAATGGACATCATAATAGGCTATAAATCATGGATTATTGGAGAAAAACCAAGCGATTCAATGTCAAATCTGACATTCAGCCCCCCCATGCAGCCTGAATGGAATGATCCATATAATAATATTATTAATAATAATAATAATAATAATAATAATACATGGTATTTATAGCGCTTTTTCTAGTTTCTTTTAGTTTCGCACATTTTTTTCTATTTAATTGTATCTTTCATAGCACAGTTTTACTTAACTTGTTATGTTTATATAAATACTTTTATTCTATTTAATTTTTCTATTTTGCACAATTTTACTCAATTTATGTTTGTATACAAATTGTAATTCCGTTTTTATTGCACCTTTTCACTGTAACTTCTCTTTTATATAACATTTCTTATTTTATTGTATCTTTTATTTCATATTTTTACTTTACTTCTTATATTTAGATAAGTACTTTAATTCTATTTTACTCCCATTTTTACTTACTTTCTTATATTTACATGACTATTTTAGTTTTATTTTATTCTAAATAAATCGACCGTCACAAAATCCAATTTCCCTTTGCGATAAATAAACTATTCTGATTCTTACATTCATATGAATCGAGTATTCTGCCAACTTTTCTGCTGAACACAAACGCTTTTGTGATTCATCAGTATATTTCCGACATTAGATATAAATTGAGTGCATGTGTCTGTTGGGTATTGGCCAATCAGAGCTTCTATTGATCCCAGATCCAGAGAAACACTGTACTAAAGATAATGTGTTTGTGAGTGCATGCACATGTGTGTCCGGGCAACTGTCTCCATTACCTCCCCTCCGCTCTGCTCATCCTGTGATAACACTAAATCATTTCCCCCTCAGTCATATATATTGCGTTTCAGTGTGCTTTAGAAAGGAGTTATATGAGCACACTGGGCCTGGCTGATGAAAAGCGTGTCTGTGCTCGGGATATTAATGAAATGTGCTGTGGTTTCATCTTTGCATTACTATATTGAAAATCATTCATCACACACCTTCAGGTTCACTGTCCTTGGTAGCACCTAACTGTGGATGGATACAAGGACAGTACTGTATGTGTTTGAACACAACGATTTTGATTGCTTCTGCAAAGGTTTAGTGTGCTTGCACAAGTGATAGTTGTGGCAAGGTGAATTATGGTTTATGTCTGTCCTTTTGTCCTGTTTTCATGAATGCAACATTCCAGGAAAGCCTTGTGGGAGTTTCTTTTCAATTTCGGCAAAAATGTCCACTTGGACTAATGAACTAATTATATGTTGGTGGTCAAGGTCGCTGTGACCTCACAAAACACATTTTGGCTATAACTCAAGAAATCCTATGCTGATTATCACTATTTCACAGGCATAATATTAATGAGTGCATTTTATGTAGCGCTTTTGCCTATACAAGTGAGGATGCACACATCGTTGGCCTTTGGGAGCAATTTGGAGTTAAGTATCTTGCACAAGGACAAATCAACATGTTGACTGCTTGGGCTGGAAATCGAACCACTGACCTCCCAATTGGCCAATGACCACTCCTGCTCCTAAACCAAAGCCATCCACACATGTCGCTAGGGACAAAAAAATGAACTTACAGTATGATATTTATGTAAACTGCTACTTGACTGTTGGTGGAGGCAAACGACCGCATGGAGGTTATAGAGTGGTGCCGTGACGAGTCCTAAATCCCGGAAGTGAGTCAGCATTTTACCAGTACTGTTTCCCTCATCTCAGAGTCAATGGGATTTCTCCATAGGATTTTGGAAAATAGCTGGAAATAAGGTCTGTGTTTGACACAAATTGAAGAGACGGATCACGTTTTGTTCTACGACATTAAATACATCAGCAGTGACCCCACTGGTGATTTTTGAAGAGTTTACGTGTCTGAAAAACGATGGTTGTTAACAAGTGGCTGAGTAGGACTACAGAAGTTGTAGAGGACGTTGTAGGTCATTACACCGAACACGTAAACACTCCCGCTAAGTTTGTTTGCCCTGTTCTGCTTGAAAGCAAGTACCTGCGCTCTTGCAAACTGTTAAAACAAAAGCTTCAACTTGTACAATTTTGAATCTGTATTTTTGAATATCGATCCTAAGTTGGCGTGACGTTGAAGCAGCGACCCTGCTGTAGTTCGTTTATAGCATAACGTTAGCATTTTGCTTCTGGCGATTAGATTTATGATTCGACAATTATAAAAGTAGGGTAGACATGTGGATATTATCCAGATGAACAAAACGTGCATTTATCTAACATGTTCGTTTTCCACAGATCTTATTTCGAGCTATTTTCCAAAATCCTATGAAGAAATCCCATTGCTTTTTTCATGCGCAGTTTACTTCTGGGTAAATACTTCCTCCCTGCACGACTCTATTGTAGATCAGAGGGACCCTATTATGCTAATTCTCAGATTTATATTTGTATTTTGTGCCGCTACTGTGACATGTCTCCATGCTTTAATGTTCAAAAAGCTCTTTATTTTCCTCATACTGCCTGTGTTGCAGCACCTCTTTTCACCCTCTGTCTGAAACCAGAGCCCAGTCTGCTCTGATTGGTTAGATAGCTTGCTCTGATTGGTCAACTACTTAGAGATGTGTCTGTAAAGTCCCATCTGTAAGCCTATGGCATATAACTTGTTTGAGCTCTAGCCAATTGAAGCGCAAGTTGGGATTTGAGCCTCTGCAATACACCTATGTAACACTCCAGGGAAAGGAAGAAGCATAAAAGGGCCTCTTTGAATTACAACATAATAGCACTTGGAGAGCACTGATCTCCTAGAAGTAAAATGGTACATTCACCTGATCCTCCTATAATCCCCTTTCCTACATTTGGAAATCGTTATTCCGAAATGTAGTGTTTTCATTAGCTGGAAAAAACGTGGACACTACAACACGATGTGTTGAATTTTATAAGGGGGCATTCATTTGTAATTTCCCGGTCTGGAACTCATAATGAATGTAGCACAGTTGCCATCAGCATTAGCCAGCATTGTTCCTTAATCCTGCTGACGGACAAACAATCAAACAAAAAAGTAAACCAAGCCTAAAATACAACCTCCTTGTAGAACATATTCTTTTAGCGTTGCTTGCCTTTATTCTGCACGCCAGGGAAGATAGACGTATAAATTGCAACAAAAGGTCTTTGGTCCATTCCTACTTTAGGATGCTGTGTTCCTCTAGAAGGGATTAAGAGGATTTACACGTCCAATTTCAAGTGTGTGCTTATGTGTGTGTGTGTGTGTGTGTGTGTGTGTGCGTGTGCGTGTGCGCCCTCTCACAGCTCTGCTGACGTGTCGCCCCGATGAGTTCCAGTGTGGTGATGGCTCCTGCATCCACGGCACCAAGCAGTGTAACAAGGTCCTGGACTGTCCTGACCACAGCGACGAGTCGGGCTGCGTCAACGGTGGGTTCACCTTTCAGCCTGTCAGGGTCTGTCTCCTCTCTGCCGGCACACCCGTCCTCCTCTCTTATGCCGGGGTCTGATTAATCTCTCTTCCTATTTTTAGTCTCTCTGCTGGTATATATTTATATATTTGATTGAGTGTTCTCAGCCTTTGGCACCTGTCTGCCTTTGTGACATTCTTTATCTCATGTTTGGTTATTGGGATCTAGTGATATTTGTGGCAGAATTATTGGGAATTTAATAATAATAATAATAATAATGATAGATTTATTTTGTAAGCGCTTTTACAGGTGCTCAAAGTCGCTTTACAGAGATAGTGAAAAGAAAAGAACAACAAATAAATATAGTTAAAGTCAAATTAAAATCAAGCAATACAACACCAATCACACATTAAAAGCCAGATTGAAGAGGTGAGTTTTTAGGACAATTTAGGACAAAAGTAACACAACTGCTATCACAGTACATGCTACAACTCCCTTTATTATCTATGTCTGCTCCTTCTATTTTATTTTAGTTTTGGTTTGGTTTGAGTTCAATTCTAATATCATTTTTGGCAAAATGTTACCAAATTTGAAACACCTTAAAAATGTATCCTTAAGGTTTCCGAATAGGGATACAAATGGTACTTGATGGTTTAATACATTTCAGTCTATTATAATTCTGCAGCAAAGTCCCTGAGCAACTATTTTATTTTTTAAAGAAACCAGAAGAGCAACAGGTGTCTCTGTTTACAGCTCAGCGAAACTGAGTTGTGTCAATAAAGAAGTCAGCTAAAAAGTAATTGTAGAACGACCTGATTTCCTTCTGTGCAAACACACTGAGTAGTTACCTTGCTGAGGAGTCGAAAAAGAAAATCAGCAAATGACTATTGTTAAAGCTATTTAGATGAACAATTGCATTTAGTGCAAACCACAGTGACAATCACATTACAAAAGATAAGTTATTTTGAGCCAGTTGAACACTCTTATAGGTATAATATGGAACATGTCCGCCTTAAAATGTATGAAAATGACTATATTTATATTATGTATGTTGTTGAGTTGTTCATTTAGGTACACTTTTGTCCCCTATATACTTTCCCAAAAGGTTTTTCTGTAGTCTGTAAATCCGTTATTTTAATGACGTTACCAGTACATTACTTTTGGTGTCTGTAATCTGACAGAAGCTGTCATCACAGTTTTATTTAAGCCACATTCTTATTTCACACTTTTTAGATCTTGGTCGTTGTTAACTTTTTCCGGATTAATAATTTTAGTCATTGGACATCTGAATATTTTGCAATTTGCATATCATGTAATGGCGGTAAAAAAACTTTCCACCCCCTTCAAGGATCAAAACTTGAAACCACCAAAGTAAATCCAGACGACAGTAGATCAGAAATGTCTCTATTAGAAAAAGTAGAAAGTAGAAATTGTTTTAGTAGTTTTTAGTAGAAATCTCCCTTACAATAAAGGCAGTATAGTATGCCCGTGTGTCATCTCCAATAAATGGCTTCAACCATCCTTTAAACTCAGGGTTTGATTCCCACTCCTTTCTGTACTTTTGTGAATAGGCTACAGTTTAGACTGTGACATGATGACCTATGTGGATGTTTAGCTTGTCACAGAGGCACACACACAGTGGACGAGGTGATTAAGTGACTGTGGCTGTGTGAGTCAAAGCAAAGGAAAGGCAGTTATTTATTATAGTGTGACAGTGACAGTGAAGAAACATTTACATTTTACATTTAAATCCCGCTCATGCGCAATTCATTTGCAATCTCGACGCGGGAGAGTGTGGCTGTCTCCTCTCTGCTCTGACTGCAGCTGAGCTGCTGCGGGAGGCAACTGTGAGTCTGAGCGCCTGTGAGTACTATGGGAGGGCAGAGGGGCTCACGGCAGCACCCGCGGCTCGTTAACTGCTGAACAATATTTGAGTCTCCAAACACCAGAAAAGTCCCTAATAACACCATTACAAGTCGTTAAATTAGTCGTTAGTCGCTTTTGACAAAATAAGTAGCCGGAGGGTTTGGAAAGCCGCCGAATTTAACGAGAAAGTCGCCAAGTTGGCAACACTGCGTGCGCATCACCCTAACTCCTCAATGGTAATGTGTGTGTGTATGTGGAACTTCCCCTTCGATTCTATTGGCTCTAATGGTTCAAAATCGACCAATGACCAATGGGTCCAGAAAAACGGCAAATCCACCCAAATGACCCCAAAGCCAAAGGTGTTTTTTTCTTTTTCTAAATCTCTCTCTAAAAAGGTCAAATGTCACTTGTTTTGCATCAATCTTGATACAGGTTACTTATTATATGTTATAGTTTGGATTCCTAAAGCTTTTAGTCTACTATCCCATCATTCAAGGGTGGTTTTCATTATAAGTAATGTTTGTTTCTCGGACGGACACTATAATTTTTTTTTTTTTTACTATGTTCAATCTGAATTGACTTTAAAATAAAAACATTTATATTGATTCTGACTCTTCTACATCCAACTCACAGGTTTATCATTACTTTGAGAAAAAATATTATTAATGTAACCCTTTTAGAAGTGAGGATATAGTCATTTGTTCTGGGCATGTCATTTTCGAGCCTGAGACCTGAAAAACAGGCTCAGGGCTTAACAGGTTAAAGGAACACACATTTGTATCTGGAAAAAACTGATAATGAATATAGTATCATTAAAGGATCGAGGATAGGGTTGATTTAATGGAAACCATACCAGTTATACATTAACTTACTTTAAATAAAGATATATGGGAGTTCTCTGGACAAAAATGATTGTCCATTTATATATAATACATTCAGTACCTTATGAGTTGCTACAAGACCATTGATCATACTGTGTGGATCCATCCCGGTTCTCTTTCTGGTCTGATCCCATTACTGCTCCCTCTTCTGACTATGATGCATCATTTAGTACAAAATGGCGTTACAGGAAATGAAATCCTAGCTTTAGAAACTGGACCAAATTAAATTTGAGCTTTTATTACACTCAGTTTTTCATGTGAAGTCATATAAATATCTGAGTGAAGAGCATTTTAAGCTACCACTTGTTTCATCTGAGCCTGAAGGAATCTGGTGAACCACTGGACGTTTGGTATGACTTCACACTATGGGCTTCACTTGAAAAAGCGCTGGTGACACCTTTCCAGATATAAAAGACAACAAGTGTATTGCGCGCAACAGGAAACAATACCCTTACTTCGGCTTACTATTTGTTAGCAACACCTTAAGACGCCTGAATACCTTGCTTTGTTTTTCAATGTCACAAACCCAACTCAACAAAGAAACTGTGTCAGGAATCTGTTTCTGATTGTGGCACATGCAAGTTTGGGGGTTATTACAATCACTTGGCTAAGGGGGGAATTATTGTTTGCTTACATTACTTTTTTTGACAACTATTGCAGTGCCTGTGTCCCGCTGCTGCAAAGGGGGAGCAATCTTTCCTTTTTTATTTTCTATACCAGGTTTACCAATATTAAATGTGTGTCCAAATTGCAGCACTTGAGTCCTCAGAAGTACACCCACCAAAAGTGAACTGACAAACTGTTCTCCAGATTACATGTTGCTCATGTTTCTGTCAAAGTGATTATTAAAAAATCTCATGCACGCTGTTTTTATAACCTTTTAAACAAATTATACTTTGAAAAGGTGGTGGGGACAAAATTGACCATTTTCAGAAAGTGGTGGGGAGATGTCCCAGCATAAATTACGTTTATTTATTTTTTACCCGGAAGAATTCTTATTGAGAGAAAATGTCTATTGCAAGAGAGACCTGGCCAATGAACACAGCAGCACAGTTACAGAACACACATTTAAAAAACAGAAAACATATATGGTCACAAAATGTTACTCAAGTAAAAGTTGAAAAGTATTAGCATCAAAATATGCTTAAAGTACCAAAAGTAAAAGTACTTATTGTGAAGATTGGCCCTTTTCAGAATAATATATATCTGTATTGTAAATATGTTTGGATTATAATTATTGATCATGAAAGTGTTCTCAAAGCTAGTAAAGGTGCAGCTAGTTTGAATGACTTTGTATACTGCAGGGTAGCTTGTGAATTGAGTATACTTGAGTAAATCTACTTAGTTACTTTTCACCACTGGGGACAGTTGACAAAAACCAGTCCGCGAAGCAAAGTCAACGGGTTCCTTGCGTATGCATCCCACACTTATTTGCATAAGGTTCTGTTTATGTTTGCAATAGCCTATGCAAAATACACTTTATAGAGTAGATGCTGATCTATCTTGTTCTTTTCTGCTGTAGCCACCAAATGTGAGGGCCCCCTGAAGTACCTGTGTAAGAACGGCGAGTGTATCGACAGCTCCAAGGTGTGCGACTCTGTCAAAGACTGCAAGGACCGATCAGACGAGCCCAAGAAGGAGTGCGGTAAGAGGACCTATTTTCTTTTTCTTTACACAGTCGTTTGGTTGTTACCTCGCTCCTATAATCTTGTGGTATGAAATGAAAGAGATTGTGTTTGTCGGCTAAGCTCTGTGAAATAAACAATGAAATTGTTAGTGGATTCGATTAGTTAATGTAGCCGTTTAATCATGTTTGCCATAACAAAACTGCAAACACCTCCCTCTCACTACCTTGCATTTCAAAGGCTTCAGAAGCACATTCAAATTAGCAGCAGTCTCAGCTGCTCAGAACTAGAGCCTGTGTGTAGTAATTAGCATCAAACTGTAGAAAAATGCTTCTTCGGCTATGTACCATCTCTATTTTCCTGTCTCACAATACTTTCTTCTCTTAAGCTGTTTTACGTACCATGAGGACTTTTAAGAAATTGTTTTGTTTACATTACTTAACATGTCATGGCTAGGTTAGTTAGCTTAACGAGCTAGAATATCTGCAATAACATCAGAACGAGTCATGCAATCACGTTGTTAAATTAAGCCAATAAAACGTACATTTTAGGTACGTGACAGTTGACCATCTTTATAATCCCTGAATGTCAACAAGCGCTGTATCACTTTTTTCCTTACTTTTAGGTGTCCCCATTTCCATTGTGTTTTGAGCTTCTTGCAGCGTTTTGTTTATGCAGCACTTTTAGTAAAGGATGAAGATGTTTCTTCATGTGTTTTAGCACTTTTGTCATTTTATATTTGCATAATATTTTGAAACTGCTGCGCGTTTCTCCTTATGGAAAGGTTTTTTGGGCCAGTTCCCCACCGTATTTAAGTATGTTGCATTGTCGAAGGAGCCTAATATGTAAGCTTTTGATTGCCAAAGCTGCTTTAGATGCCCATTTCCCCCCATTTAAGAAAATGTAAAGCCCTCTGTGCTGAAGAGCTCAGACAGAAAGTTTCGGACATGAGACAGATACAGCATCTCAGAGGATGATAAAGTTAAGGAGGTGCAAGTGACAGATGGCAGGGCAGGCTGACCTCTGCCAGGGATAGAAACTACGACACAGGTATCCCAGAGAGTAATTCTCCTCCTTTTGTCCCTCCTCTTCCTGCCTCCTCACACCTCCCTTCCCTACTTCAGCTGGGGTCTTGTTCTCAGCTCATTAAAAGCGTGTCCACACACACCTTGCTCATCGCTGTGCTCGCTCAACCGTTCCCTCGCAAGATGTTCCCCAAACCGAAACACACACAGGAAAGCACACACAGAGAGACAGTGATACTCCCCGCTGCACAGACACACACTTGTCCGTAGTTGTTCGGTGTGATTGCATTCGCCCGCATCAGCCTTACATCAGAGGGAAATAAAGACAAAGCGTTTCTCTCGGTGCTCAAACAAATCTTTTTCTGTGTTTCAACATCTCGTTAGAAATACACGGGCCGGACTCATTACCCGACACACCATGCATTTCTCATCACCATCACCTCCCGCTTGTTCCAGGCAGGACTGTTGTTTCTGTTTTATTTTGGTATGAAAGGTACAGACACAGTATGTGGGAATCATTTTAGTCTGTGATCATAAATAGACCCGCAACTAATGATTGTTTTCATTAGCAATTATTGTGAAAATAGTAAATATGTCCATCTCAAGAGCAAAGTGATGTTTGTCACTTCAGAATCCAAAGATATTCACTTTAATATGATACAAAACAAAGAAATCGTCATATTTGAGGGTCTTATAACAGCATTACAGCATGTTTTTATTCAATAGTTATACAGACAAATGACTACAGACACAAGAATAACATTTTAGTTGAAGCCTGATGGCAGAATTTAGATTACAGTTAGTTATCCAATCAATATCACAGCGAAATAACTACACACAACAACATCATGACATTTTCTTTTCATTACCGACTTATTTCTTTGGTATATACATAAAATGTAATTAAATAGGGAAAAATGTCCATCCATGTTTCTCTCAGGTGATGTATTTAATGACTCTGAAACCCAAAGATATTCAGTCTAATATGACACACAAAAAGGAATTATTTATATTTGAGAGGCTAATGACAGCATTACTCGACACTGCGGCATAGTTTTCAGAGCGGGACTGTTGCTATGTTATTTTGTGTGAAAGAAACAGACACAGTATGAGGGAGGATTGTTAGTCTGTGATCACAGATAGAGCCGCAACTAGCAATTCCTTTTAGTATCAATGTATCTGGCAATTATTTTCTTGATTAATCATCATAAAATGCCAGAAAATAGTTAAATATGTTTGCCCAGTATGTCAAATTCTAAGGCAAGAACCCAAGGATATTAAATAAAAAATAAATTGCAGAAGATATTCATATTTAAGTGGACGAAAAAGCATTTTCTGTCATTTTTCATTGGAAATAAGTATTTTTGTGTTGTCCAACTAAACGTTTAGGCGACAATTCGTTCTTTAATCACATAGCCAAATTGAGGGTTGTGTAAAAGGGAAAGCCGGCCAGGGTCTTTGACACACACACACACACACACACACACAATGTAAAGTTACATGTCACACGGTGGGGCTGCATTCTGCTGGCATTGTTGTTTTCTCTCTAAAGCACTATTGCGTAACCTCTGTGTAAAAGGGAAGAACATAAGTAGTGCATAATGGGTTACCATGGTGAAGGATGTGGAGGAAGAGAGATGGAGGTCGAGAAGAAAAGGAGAGACGTCATGTTTGTTTCCTCATGGGAGACTGACCTCTAATTCTCGCCTGTCCTTGGAAGCGGTCTAGAAAAAGCTCTTCATCTTATCACATGGCCTCCTGAGGCGTCTTTGTTACCACCCAGCCCACTCAAAGACCCAGGAAGGAGTGAGTCCTCACACAGAAACAGACACATCTCAGTCTTTCTTCCGTCTGCAGTTAATTCTAGCAGCGACATGAAGGGAGTTAGCTCCTGTGAGTGGCAGGCTGCTGTCACCCATCCAGCTGAATTAGAGAGGGGAATGTAATGCTGGCGGTCGCAGCGCTCAAAGTCTGCTGGCACTCACACAAAGCAGAGATGAAGTGTTCCCACTAAAGTAACCCTCAGTCAATCCCTGGAGAGTCAACTTTATCTTCCTGTATTTGTTTTAACAATATATAAAGAATAGTGCTGTAGCTGTGCTAAAGCTCCACAGATGAGCTGAACAGGTCATCCATGCAGTCACTGTGTATAGCTGGTAGTTGGTCTAACATTTCGTTTTTAAGTAAATAAGGGCCAGGGTTTTCAGGACAGACTTTCAGCATTTTACTGCAAGGAATAACAACATAGCATCAGTATAGTTTTTTAGAAAGCAAAGGCTTGTTTTGCCTGTGGAGTGTGTAGAATCATGAATGGCAATGCCAGTACTACGTTTTAGCGTTTTAGCATTGCAAGCTAGGTCTCTCGAACAGACTTCTCTTTAATGTTCAGATTTTTTATTAAAACTTTTGCTTCAAATTGTAAAACAAAAATGTTAAAGTACCTAAAGGGATTAGGGTTAATACGTAAAGATAAATCAGAAGACTGACACTACTGTCATATCCTTTCGGTATATTAAAGATCTAGCAAGCAGCCGGTTAGCTTAGCTTAGCACAAAGACTTTAAACAGGCAAAGTGCTAGCCTGGCTCCGTCCAAAGATAACTAAATCCACATAAGAGTGCCTCAAAAGCTCGCTCATTACACATTGTGTTTCTTTTGTTAAATCCACACAACAAATAAAGTGTAAATGAAGTGTGAAAATTACATTTTGCTTACATTTTTTGATTTCCCCGAGACGAGCACAACTTCCTGGATCTTTCTTATTTCTGGGCAACCAGCTGTACTCTTCGAAAGGAAGTAAATGGGTTAATATCCCAAAATGACTCTTATGTGGATTTTGTTATCTTTGGACGGAGCCAGGCTAGCTTCAACCTCAAATAATAGCAAAAATACCTATACAATAAATGTGTGAGGAAAATCATACATACACATACATTTTGAACCAAAAATGTTGTTCAGCCTCTTGTATACAAAAAAAAATGCCCTTTTTACAAAAATATTTGTAATAATATGTTAGCTGCATTTTAAGCCCATACCCTTTCAAAATAAAAGTCTGTCTCTTACAAATCCACAAAGGATCTGTGATCATTTAATATCCTGTTTATTTAGTGCAATAATCTACACACTTGCTCCGACACAAATAAACAATACAAAGTCATGTGTATCGGTTAATACATTGTTCCAGCATTTTGTTTAAATATTCAGTGTATAAAGCATATTTTTGCAAAACTCCTTGTGGTGGGTTTGCAGATTCAAATGCTTTGCTTCAGGCCTACTGTTTTATAACACACACAAACTCTGTTTACAGTCGCCCTGTTTCAATGACTGATGATATAAAGCTCCCTGTCTATTGACAAATGTGTTACACCAGATTGGGCGGGATGCTGTTGACCGAATGAAGCATTCTCTCGTATTGAGGAGTGAGGTTTCCCTCCTCTTTAATCCATTCCTCTCTTTATCACCCCTTTCCAGTTGTCACTTGTTCACCGTGCATCCGTGTTTAATGTTTGTGTAAAAAGCAAAGCTGTTCAATGAAATGTTGGATAATTCTTCTTCTGGTTATTTGAGCTTTCACTCAGTTAGCTTAGCTTCTTTTTTTTCGTTGGAAGCTATAAATCTGACCCAAAAAATGTACAAGCCCGTGACTTTTAAGCCCTTCTTGCTATCAAGTCATTGTGCAGCACAATCAAATCTAACTTCCTTCTTTGTTATGTGCCATCTCTGCCAGCTGCTCTGACCCAGTTTAAAGAGAGTGTTTTTACCCGTTGTTTGTTCCCCACTTCTTTTACATCACTCATTGTCCCTGTTTAATTTAGACGTCCTCTCTCACTCCTGTGATGGATCCTTAAGGGACATCTCAGATATCCCGGTCCACAGCGATAATCCCCTCTGCACACATGCTTCACATCATGCAGATAGACCTGATTCAGGGTTTTAAGACCTTATCGCGTGTGATGTTGGGTCTCTTTGATTCCTATTTTTCACTTGTGAGAACATCTGATAAGGATTCAAAAAGGGTTGAAAAAGAGCCAGGGACAAGAGCCAAGATAAAAAGGAGATTATGAATATGATATCCATTTTCCACACCTTGTGCCGCACACACCTTTGTCAGATATCATGAGATATTCCACTGCTATTAAACCCTTTACAAATATATATTCTAAAGTCAGAGGGCTTATTCTAAATCCAATTTCTTACATTTTTTGATAACCTTGGGCCACAGTAATGTCCCAATGTGCTATCAACATATGTACGTATATGTGTATGTTTCTATAATATTTATATAAAATTACAATTATTAGTATATTATTCCACTGTACAGTATTTTATTTGTATTCCTGTTCACCCTGTTCCATTTTCCATGTACGAAGTTCACGTATATATATTCATTTTACCTGCACCACAGTCTCACATGCACTAGTTAGGTTTTCTCATAGTATATTGCATGTTTCACTGTGGGAGGGGCCTGGGACTTGAGGTTTTCATTCCCAACAACTGTGCATACAATGATAAAGCCTTTGAATCTTTCAATAAAGTAGGGCAGGAATGAGTCGTAAAACCTTGGAACGGTTAGCATTTGACCTCTTCCAGTTCCCTCTTCTTGAAGTCAATGGTTTTGAACATGTTTTTGGTTAGAAGCCCAAAGCTCAATTTTGTTATAGAGTGGTGCAGTAATGAGTTTTAAAACCTGGGAATGAGTTATAATTTTACCACTTTCAGTACCCTTGTATTGAACTCAACAGTTATTTTAGCCTGAAATAAGTTCTGTGGTTAACACAAGCTGAAGAGATTTTTTTTATACAGCATAAAATACAGTAGTAAATCACCCACTGGTTTATGTCTTAAAGGACACCTATCATGCTATATTTAAATTATATATTGTAGGGCCATACCTATATATATATTTTTTTTTACAAGTCTTTTTATTTCATTATAGTGTACAATAATCGATGCCATTTCATTTATATTGTAATATCACAGTACACTCACTACACTCCCCCCTCCCTCCCTCCACCCACACATACCCGCACAGGCAAAACCAAAAAATGCTTATCAATATAACTTAAACAACAGAGCCATGAAAATAAACATAAAAAGGAAAAGGAAAAAATAGAACCAAAAAATACCTATATAAGGTATATTTATACGTTTCTGTTTTCAAAATACCAAACAGATCATACATTTTAGCCATGCCTCATTTCGCTCTATTTGCTGTTTGCTGTCTACGGGGCTGATTCTGTGAGCTGCAGCTGACCATGCCCCCCTGCAGGACCGTGCTCTGATCAAGTCAAGAGGGGGAGAAAAAAAGATCTCCGTCCTCCGTGTTTTATTATATTATTATAGGCCTATAGAGTCGTTATTCATTTGTTTTAAAGCTCAATAAATAACAAAGAAGACCTTTGACCGGCACTTTTCTAATTTTGTCCGGAAGATTTAAACTTTAACGGACATCTTGACCGGCGAAAGAAACTGAAACTCTGCCGCACGGTCCCCTCGTTCCTTGGAAGAGGCGGAGAGGTGGGTGTTTGTCATCTGCTGGTGGACTAACCGGTGAGTTCCCTGGAACAGGGGACACATATTCATGTATAAAAGACGTACAAAAGTGCATTTTGCATGATAGGTCCCCTTTAAGCTTTTATCAGTGGAAAAAAAAAGCAATTGCTATAAAGTGACAAAATAAGTGACTACCAAGAACATGAATCCTTCTTAAACTAAGCGGTGTTGACGGGGTGTCATGTGACTGTGATATAGATTGTTTATAGTCTAACTTTAGGTAATCTTGGAATGTTCCTCTCTAAGATTGGCTGCATTTGACCACTGGCTTCTCTTTCTTTGTCTCCCAGGGCTGAATGAGTGTATGATCAACAACGGTGGCTGCTCCCATGTCTGCATGGATCGACCAATCGGCTTCGAGTGCCAGTGCCCCACAGGCTACCAGCTACTGGACAAAAAGACTTGTGGTGGTAAGTAAAGAAACTTTAGATAGACAGTCAGACAGATGGAAAGAAACGAGTGGCATTTTGGCTCTGCTGACCAAGCTGCTATGAGTCCGTGTTTGTGTGTGAGATTGATTCTGGGAGTGTGTTTTGGTGTATTGCTTTGGACAGCTCTCAGCTCACTAGCTGTCTGTCTTTGTTTAATGTGCCCTCCCTGTCACTCCCACAGGGAATCTAGAACAGCCACTTCTCTTTCATACACTCTCACACATGCGTATACCCTGTCCTTCACACTCTTCCCCATCCTTTTAGCACTTGTGTTTCTCCATCACACCCCAGGAAAAAGCCTGAGATCTGTTAGGAGGAAGCAGAGCGGAGAAGTCTCCCTGTCGACTACTTTCCTCCTATTATTACATTACATGTTACTTGTTAGACGCTTTTATCCAAAGCGACTTACATACTCAATACTGTGGACAATCCCCACAGGAGCAATTTGGGGTGAAGTGTCTTGCCCAGGGACACAACGACATGCTGACTGCAGTGGGGTTTGAACCTGTGACCCCCTGATCCGAACACCAACGCACAACCCACTGCACTATTATAGTGAACGACATAATGTCTGTGTGTTTCTTCAACACTTGGAGTTATAGAGTGGGTCAGGAATGAGTCCTAAACCAGGAGATTAGTTAGCAATTTAGCTGTTCTGGGTTCCCCTGTCTGTAAGTTAACCCTCCGGTATCATTCGATTGGACTACGCAAATTAGTCATTCGGGACAAAAACTTCCACAGTGTTACCGGAGGGTTAAAAGTGTTTTGAATGTGCTTTTTTTTTAGATGCCTGAAATGAGGTCTGTGGCTAAAAAAAGCTGTAGAGATGTTTACTGTAAATGTTGTCCTATGACATGAAACACGTCAGTAAATCCCCCACTTGTGAATGACTGAAGCTTCGATTAACTTAATAAGTGACTCAATAGACTACTAAACGTCCTCATGTTTATTTCTACCGATATAATTTACGATACAAAAATCACAAAGTACTGTAGTGTCAATATGTGGAGACTAAACAAAACATGCTAAGTATGATGAACTTGTGTTGGCTGAATGGCTTACTTTCTGCAATATTCCAAAATCCAATAAGAAAATCCCATTCCTTTAGTCAACGGACCCCTTTGCTTTGCTAACTTCTTGGTTGGCCTACAAAAATAATTTTGTCTATTATTGGCCTACAAAAATAATTCTGAACCACTCTATTATCCACTCATTAATGTCTGAAGCTTTTACAATAGATCTCTTAAAAATGGTGGTTGCGAACAAGATACTTAACAGGAATACTAAACTCCCTTAAACTGAACATGAGTCTGCCTTTAGCTTAGCGGTGGTGGCGCTGATAGCATTACGCTAGCTATTTACTTCTGGCGATTGCATTTATGTTTCAACTATTATAAAAGTGGTGTTTATTTGTAGAGATTATCCTGATGAACAAATGTGTAAGTATCATAAACAAGTGTTTGGTCTTATTTACTGCAATATTTAAAATTCCAATAGAAAAATCCCATTGCTTTTTGTCGAGGGAGGGTTGCGATGCTAAATTCCGGGTAAGGCTACAAAGATACATCATCCCTGAACAACTCAATACATGTGCATATAAACTCCTCCATTACAGCCCTTAATCTCAGAAAGTCAATGCTTTATTTATATTTTGTGGATTGAGTTGCCGCTCCTATCTGATGCAGCTCATGGCGGTGAATCAGTCACCGTCTGTCTGTCTGACAGCGCCTGTCGCTCTCTGTCTTCCAGCTGATGGATAACCTCTCTTCATTCTTCTTTGTCTTTTGCAGACATCGACGAGTGTGAGAACCCAGACGCCTGTAGCCAGATCTGCATCAACTACAAGGGGGATTTTAAATGTGAATGCCATGAAGGCTATGAGATGGACCCTGTTACCAAGACATGCAAGGCAGAAGGTGAGTCACAATGATCACTGATAAACAATGCAAGGTGTCTAAGACCAAACAGTGCTGCAGGACTGAGACCAAGGACCAGGGGAGTGAGCATTGTTTTGCGTTTAGGTCCCCTTATCTCAAAGTTTAAAAAATATAAACATGTGTTTTTGGTAAGATGCCTGAAAGAATGTATGGTTAACACAAGCTTGAGGGATTTTTCAGTTTGTTCTTCTACATAAACTACATCAGTTAATGTTCATTTTGAAGTTTTTACTGGTCTTAATAAAGGCGGTTGCTAACAAGTGGCTAAAGGAGTGTTCTAAAAGTAATATCGCCTAATGCTAGTCAGTCTTTAAATTAGCGGTGAAGACGACAGTAGTTTGTTTTTAGCCAATTGTTAGCTTTTTACTACCGTTTTTTTAATCTATTCTTTCAAAATCACACATTTGAATATTATTTGTGAAGATTATCTTGCTGATCAAAACGTGTAAGGATCATGATCATGTCTTTATATTCTGCAATTATCCAAAATCCGATGGAACAATCCATTTGCTTTTTGTTTAGCGAAAAGAACAATGCTAACTTCGGGATGAGCCTTCATATGTCAGCTCTGCATCACTGATTCAGGTTAAAGGCCCTATTATGGTCATTTTGCGTGCCGCCCCTTAGCCTATCACACACAATGTGTTGGAGCGCATACCTTGGTTGCAATTAGTGGTTATTTGAGTCACTGTTGCCTTTCTTTCATCTTGAACCAGTCTGGCCATTCTCCTCAGACCTCTGGCATCAACAAGGCATTATTACCCAGAGAACTGCCGCTCACTGGATATTTTCACTTTTTTGGAACATTCTCTGTAAACCCTAGAGATGGTTGTGAGTGAAAATCCCAGCAGATCAGCAGTTTCTGAAATACTGAGACCAGGCCGTCTGGCACCAACAACCATGCCACGTTCAAAGTCACTTAAATCTCTTCTTCCCCATTCTGATGCTGTTTGAACTTCACCAGGTCGTCTCGACCATGTCTACATGCCTAAATGCATTGAGTTGCTGCCATGTGATTGGCTGATTAGATATTTGCGTTAACGAGCAGTTGAACAGGTGTACCTAATAAAGTGGCCAGTGAGTGTATAAAACACACTACAGGAAAGGGAAAACCCCCAAAAGCTTAATAGGGCCTCTTCAAGGGTTTCTATTTTGACACAGAAAATAGTATTGGCAATTAATAGAAATCTGGAATTGATTAAGGCTACCAGACAGTTTGATTTTGATGCAATTATACTTGATCTTTCTGCGTTAATAGGGCAACAACGAAGTTAGGTTCTTTTTATAATCATGCTGTTTATAACCTACATAGTTGCTGTTGCATTTTTCTCAACTGATGGTTCAAAAAGCTGTCGTACTTTTGATAACGAGACACGCTCTCAGATATTGCCCCGCCTCATTAGTGCAACACTTCACTCTCAGCTTTCTGTGCCCTCCACATCTCATAATCACAAACATCTTTCCGCTGTTAGGTTCTTATCATCCCTCTGCACTTGCCCGTGTATTGACATAATTGCTAAACCCTGAAGAGAAAAAAAAAGGCAAAGCAAGTTTCTGCCAGGATAAATCTGTCCTCCAGTGTCCCTTCACTCACATTAGATAGTTCCCTGAGTGACAGCCTGATGTGCTCAACCATGCGTAACTGTTATAATGAGGTAAAGCGACTCTTCATGGATACCTAGCTAATTCCTTTGGATGATATCCCATTAGGCTTGTTGACAAAAGTCATCGGACTAGTGGAGGACAAAGTGAAAAAGAGGCCAATTCATTTTATTTGACTTTCAATCTGAAGCTATTACTAAAAATCTGTACGCAGAGAAGCGAGTTTATGTGTTTACACCTCATTTTCCTTAAATGTTCATTATTTAATTGGCAGGAAAACAGTGATTGAGTTTAAAAGAGGTGATTCGGTCCCCGTGGCTGTCGAACGCTGTGATTTCATTTCCCTCAATTAAGCTGAGCTAATATCAAACTCAGCACTCACTCTGTGTGTGTTTGCCTACGACACCCTATGCCCCTCTGCCTGTGCTTGTGTATTTCTCTGCGCATCACTGCCCGGTGTGTTCGCTATCAGCTCATCGCAACCAGCAGAGAACCGAGTGTGTCTGGCTGTGTGTCAGAAAGCAGAATCGCAGTGAGTGCAGCAGGTCCGCTGTGCTGTGACAGCCCATAAAACAGCAGGGAACTATTTCCCCCCTTAGAGAGGTCGGAAATGTTGTCACTGTAATCGCAAGTTTTCGTTTTGACCGGCATTTTTCTCATTCATACTATGGGCTGGTAGAGGAAGGAAAAGGAAGGAAAAGAAAACATGCAACAATTAGGGTACGACACACTGTCAGACAAACTGAAGCGAGGGAGCCATTAATGAGAGAATATCATGTCAACCTCCAGAGAGAACTGGCTGCAGATGCCATCCTATTACCATGCAATGTCAGAAAGAGCCTCAATATAGATGTTACAAGACAAAGGTGGGCTGCAGTTGCCAGCCAGAAGCGATAAAACCCTTCCCGTGGGCATCTAATACCCACGTTCCCTGCCAGAATTACGAGGAAATACACATAAAGGTGTGATAATATAAATTCTGCTCAGGCTACCAACTAATTAAAATGCATCCTGGATGACCTTATCACAAGTGGACAGCTCCTAAAATAGCTGTGAGTGAAGCCAAAATAGAGGACAACGTGTGTATGTATGTTAAACTGCAGTATGACAAAGCCTAAAACACAGTCGATGAAAAGGCAAAAGAATAATTTGTGTCGGTCTTAATGAGTGTGATTTGAGTTATATCAGGTTTCCTTCCTAGCTTTATCTAATTTTCAAGTCCTTTTTTTCCCAGTATGCAAATGTCCACTGCAGTCCTCTTTTATAGCTCTAAGGCAAAAAGGCGAATATGTATTTTTAGCCATGCTAGCGGCTAAGCTCTAGGAATGGTGGTCTGTCGGTTCTCTGTTTGGCCTAGACTGAAATATTCCAACAACTATTGGATGGATAACCATGACACTCTCTGATACACTCATGCTTTCCAGAGGATGAACCATGATTACTTTGTGATTGCCCTAATTATCTCCCCTAGCAACTGTTTCTCTTAAAATGTCTAAAAACGACTCAGCATATGTTTTTTATTTTGTTCAGTCATGTATGTACATTATCCAAAATGTTTCCATCTATTTTATAAACCTAGATAATTTTAATAAAGGTAACGATTTCTTTCATTTAGTTGCCTGAAGCGGCGTTTGAGCATGTGTTAGCGTGCCTGCAAGAAGCCGTAATTTACATTTAACCTATTTGAAGACACTTTTTTTCTAACTATACACTTTTTAGATCTTGGTTATTTTTAACGTTGTCTAACCAATGAAGGAAATTAGTCATCACTGACTATTGACCTAAACCAACTTAATTCAGTTTTTTTTATGAGCTGTTACATTTGTCTTGTCTAGGAGACCATCTGCTAGTAAAAACCTCTGGAACATCTGGATATTGAGTTGTAAAAGAAGAACAGCTGCGCTAACCCCTTTAGCTCATAGCCCCGCTGTGTCCTTCAGAGAAACGCGACACTGATTAATTAATTGCTTTAACCAGTTTCACTCATTAGGTCCCTAATTTGAGAATACCTCTGCTAAGAATTTGGCTCCCAGTTAGAAAACCTGAACAACCAAGGAATCTTTAACAAGAGAAGCTGAGTGCACTCTTCATGTGCAGCACAGCCTCACTGAGAAACAAGCATGGCTGCAGGTCTCTTGATGAAGCTGCTAGTCGTCAGTTATCTACTGATAAAAATCAATTATGATCGCGTTTAGCGCAAGTGATCTAATGAGATGTGTTTTGCTGCTTTTTGTAAAGAGATATCAATGGGGCACTATTATGCTCATTTTCATATTTATATTTTGTGTCTCTACTGTGACATGTCTCCATGCTTTAATGTTCAAAAAGCTCTTTACTTTTCTCATACTGCTGCCTGTGCTGCAGCACCTCTTTTCACCCTCTGTCTGAAACCAGAGCCCAGTCTGGTTAGCTGGCCGACTCTTTTGTGATTGGTCAACAGCTTGTAATGTCCCGCTGCTTAGCCTATCACATATTAGCGCTAGCCAATACAAGTGCATGTTACATAATGATGTCACTATGTTACAGAAGTAAACAAAGGAGGCGTTTCAGGTGGGGAGGGGGGAGAGAAAATCCCTCTGGGGGGGGGACTTTGGGACTCTAGCTTTTGCAGACCATTTCCATGCACTAAAACATAACCCATACAGGAAACAGAAAACACCAAAAAGCATTATAGGGCCTCTTTAACATTACTCTGCATCCTATAGGTTCAACTTTATTGCAGTTGCAGAGTTTCTTGAGGGGACCAAGTAACTGATCTTTATTGTTTATTGGTCGCAAAGAGAAGGTCAACAAACCTGCCTGGTTTAACTTTGTTCAAGGTTGTTTATCGGCCCTCAGAGGAAATGACCTCATTACTATTCTTTTACTGTGTGCGCTCGTACACATATATTTAGTCCTCCCGCCTGTGAAAGTGGACAGGCCGCTGTTTAAAGAGGTGCCAAGGTAATTGTGATCTATATTTGCAAAGAGAAGATAATAAGACGCATACAACTTAATGATGTATACAGACACCCTGATCAATACAGTTACTATTCAGCCGTTTTTAATGAAGGATTATTGTCCCGGTGCTCTTGTTAGAGGCGGATATTGAGCTGTATCACACCGGCTTTGTTGTGTTATTTATCTGTGTTAGAAGATGACATTTAGAGCAGTGCCACAAATATGCCGCAGCACATTAAGTCGCAATGGCTTTTGACACTGTGGCGAGCCTCCAAATGATTACTTTAGAGAGATGTCTGCTCCTTCCCCCCCGACACACAGCGTCTCCCGTCATGGTCAATTTTTCTGAATTATTGACATCTTCTGTCTTTCTTTACAGCAGAATAATGCTATAATGCTGTTTTGTGTTTGATTATTGCAGGTACAACCCTTATTTCTTATATCTAATACAATCTTAATCCAGAAGCTAAAGGTTACATTTATTTTATTACACTATACTTGCTTGCCTAATCCGAATCTAGGAATGAAAGATGTATATCGTTGCGGATAAATTACCGGCTGATAATGGGAAAATGTATGTTATGATATATTATTCCAATATTAAATTATAGTTGATAAATTACTGGACGATAATAGGAAAATGTATATTATTATGTTTTTTTCCGATAATTAAATTAGAGCTTATAAATCATCGGCCAATAATACGGCAGCCACATTTATTTTATTTGACTTAACAATCGCAGCAACTCCAATACAGTAGGTGACTGTGGAAGGGGCCCTTTTAAGCTCATTTTCAGGTTCATATTTTCTGCCTCTATATGTTTAAATACTTTGATGTTTAAAAAGTGCTTTATTTTTTATATATTTTTCGCGTGCTGCAGCACCTTTCTTTACCCTCTTTTGTGATTGGTTAACCGCTTAGAGATATCCCGCCCCTTAGCTCATCTCTCTCAATGTGTTAGAGTGCTAGCCCGAGTGTGATGTCACTATGTTATTGAACAAAGGAGACGAATGGAGGCGCTTCAAGCAGGGGGGGGGGGGAAATGTGTCGGAGAGACATTTTGGAATTGTAGCCTTTGCAGACCATTTACATGCACAAAGAATACACTATAGGAAAGGGAAAACCCCCCCAAACAGGGGCCCCTATAAAGTTAGTTAAAAGAGAAGAAGAAAAATAAGCACACCATTTTGAATTGAGAGCCAAACAGCCTTTCTGGGGTTGATGTTGTTTTCAGTTTCAAAAGCAGTTCACAATTGAGTTTGTTAGCTCTAACCCTAACCCTAACCCCTAGGGAATATATCATCGTTAATTGCTTTACATCTTTGCCATTCTAACCTTTAGGTTGTGAACACATTTTTAAAATACATAAACAGGAAGTTATTGGTTAACATATTGGTTTCAGCTAGAAAAACCTCCATATGGTGCATTTCCTCTGGATGATGAACTGTAGGAGCTGCTGTAAATAGAGGATATGTGCTTCTGAGAGATAACGACTTCTGGCCCTTTACCAAATTGTCAAAGCTGATTTGACTAGCCATTATCAAACCACATCCCAACTCCACCTATCAATAATGTATTCCTCTTTTTAATACAATCATTCTACTTCTAAATTGCTTTCTCTCTGTGACTTTGGCGTGATTGATTATTTCAGCTGGACAAACTCTCCCATACTTGAGCTGCAAGTTGACTCTTTTCTTCAGGACAATAAATATCCGTTGCTTTGTGTGCAGGGAAGAGCCCTTACCTGTTGTTCACCAACCGGCATGAGATCCGACGCATCGACCCGGTGAAGCGCGACTACAGCCAGGTGGTGTCCACCCAGAAGAACGCTGTGGCTCTGGACATGGACGTGGCCAACAACCGGGTGTTCTGGTGCGATCGCTTCCATCGCAAAATCTACAGGTAAAGAAACTGGATTTACAATCAAATATAAAATATCCGAAACATTGTCAAATATCCGAGTCTAGGATTTATTTTATCCTATTTTTTAAAGGAAGGCATAGTTATAGACCCTTTTTGTTTCATTAACACAAAACAAAAAAAATATAATATAATATATATTTTTAAAAACACACGCAAAAACAAACAGTCACTGGCAGACGCTCTTCCAAAATCTCTGAAAACTAAGCCTGATTTTAGATTTTAGTAATTTTTTTAGTTATTATAAGAACACTACATTTGATCCCAAAATGTTCAAATCTTAAAGTGGACCTATCATGCTATATTTGAATAATATAGTGTAGGACCATACCTATATAAGGCATATTTATACTTTTTTTTTTTCAAAATACCAAACAGATCATGCATTTTAGCCATGCCTCATTTTGCTCAATTTGACATTTTTTAGCTCTGTGTTTGCAAGGGCAGATTCAGTGAGAACAGCACCACCTACAGGCCTGGCATATGTACTACAGCGTCTCCAGCGCTTTCGAACGGCAATGGCCGTGGCTGTCTCCTCCTGATTGGTGGAGTTGGCCCAATAGCCGTAGCGCCACTGTCCTGACGTCAGGACAGTGTTCAAATCTGGATCAGTTTTTATCAGATCCGTTGCAGCCCCTTTTTTAGAGATTTGGGTATGGAGGAAAATAGAGAGGGTTGTGTTTTCTGACACTTGGTGAGTTCCCTGGAACACCGGGGACACATATTCATGTATAAAAGACGTACAAAAGTGCATTTTGCATGATAGGTCCCCTTTAAGCATTAAAGGTACCCATTGGAGTTTTGTTTTGTAAAAAGCTTTGTCAGATTTGAGTACTATGTGTCTCAAATGTGCATTGCATCCTTGTGTATGTGCACCAGATGCTTACAACACAGATGCCCACTCTTAATATTACATTAACATGACTCTGTAGCGCCACTAGTGATCCAAAAGTTCCACAGGGTGCCTTTCATTTAGATCACAAACCTGATCTTACATGTAAACCTGAGTTTAGGTTGCAGACTGAGGCTACGTATAGCATTAAGTCCACACTAAAAGATGCATTATTTTACTGTAATAAGCTTAGCATTTTTTTAATTTAAATGTAATTATTTGTGTTATTCTAATTGCCGAGTTTACTTTAACAAAGACTAGTTTAAAAATGTTTTCTCCAAAGTTAAACCAAGAGTTTTTCTTCTGATCTGATTTGATTTGAATAATCTTAATGTGACATTACACACGCTTCTTCTTACATGCTATCTTTTTTCCATGTCATGAGTTGATTGTATTCAATGTCCTGAGCCTCTACTTGTTCGGTCTTTTAAAATGAAATGGGCTGAGATGATAGCTAAGGCCTGCTATTATTTTAAAATAACTCCCAGTTCCTATTGTTATCCCAACTACGTTCTCCCCAGAGTGCACTCTAATTGGAGCAGGGTGTTCTCTTCATGAAATGGATGTTAAAAGTAAAGATCTCTGGGGAAACTAAAAAAGAAATCCCAGTTGGGAAGCACGCTGCCTTGCCCTCACCTCACACCCCTGCCAGGGCTAAATCATTAGCGACCCTTGAGTCAGGCGTTGTCTCTTCTGATAAGTGGTCCAACCAAGAAGACCCTAACCCCCCAGTGAACCTGCTCAGAGCGTGGCCCAAGGCTACTCCACCCATAGTATTCCCATTCTCCGCTCTGCAGTCGCTGTACTGCACAGAGAAGAATGGAGACTTAGTATAGACGCACATCAGGCGTGATGATACACCTTCTTTAGGCCATATACTTGTCACTGTCATATATGTGTACTGTATAATGGGTGGATGTTGGAAATTAGAGCCTGCTCTCCAATTAAAACAATTACATATAGCAAAAGGGCAAATACTTGGACAATGGTGACAAATAGAGATCAATTCGCTAAAAGGAAAAAGAAAGAAGTTCTTTTCACAAATATCTACTGAAATGATGCAATTATATCTGATTTTCAAAATTAACTACATTTTAATTATTAGTTATCATTTTGTACTAAAAGTTAGTTTGTATTGTGTCTTCTATGCATTGATACTGAAAATTAGATATATTGTATCAATGAGTAAGAGATTTATATGAAATGTTACTTTGTATAAAAATGTGTTTAATATATATATATATTTTATTTTATAAATATATATATATAAGTATTAATATTGTATAGAATATTATTCAATAATTTGTATAAGACCAACTAAGTATGTGCTCATACATTCCCACTCATCATTCATGTTTGCTTGCTTTACATTCAAGCTGTTTATTCCTCTTATCATTTATTAACAAATGTGATAGCAGGTGCTTCATCTATTAAACTTACAGTCGGCTTTTTTTGGTGTCAGTTTGTAAAATGCTTTAGCTTGTAATGAAATCTCCAAAAATCTATATCTCAGATGGTAAATCTATTGGCATGGTGCCATGTAATAAGAGGAATAGTTTATATAGACTTATTATCACAAGAACGGGCCCCAGCAGCACTAAACTACACATCCATGTTCACAATAATGTCTGGCTTGCTGCAGAATATGCCTTACATATGCCCCCCCCCCCCCCCTCTTTATTCACAGTGCTTTCATCCATGAGGCCAGCGACCCCTCGCAGCAGGTCCCCCTGCTGGACTCCCTCCTGAAGACCCCCGTGGGGCTGGCTCTGGACTGGCTCCAACACAACCTGTACTGGGCCGACTCCGGAGACAAGTCCATCTCCGTGGCCTCGGTGGACGCCACCAAGAGACGAGTCCTCATCAACACGGACCTGAGCGAGCCAAGGGCCATCGCACTGGACCCTCACCAGGGGTAAGGGCAGGGAGGGGTGTGTCCAGTACAAAAGATTGGTGCCTGTAACAGGAGAAAATCCCCTCTAATGACATCAGTGTTTCAGAATCAGAATTCCTTCATACGTCCCACATTTGGGAAATTGACATTGTTACAGCAAAGAGACAGTACCGGACAAAACAAAAAGGAAAGGGGAAAGCACACGTTAACACTGAGGATCAAGCAGCCCATTGTTATTTGGTTTGAAAACAATTGATAGGAAGGCTATATAAAGAATGACATTGAGGCATTTAGATAAATGTTTATTAAAAAGAAGGCTATTTCAAGTCCTGTCAAGACACAGGGCAACAAATAAAGTAAATGTCCAAAAGCCTAAGACATGACGAAGAAACACTTCTTTGCATGTAGTTGAGACATTCTCGCTGGGCTTGTGACATCGATGAGAGTGGCTGGTGCTTCAAATTGTGCTGAAGGGAACTCATTTTTCACTGGACACATTATGACCAGAGAAGTCTAAATGTGTCAAACCCACACACTGGTCTCGGAACACAATACTAAATGCCTGGAGCCTCAGAAAGAATTGACCCAGCATACATGAGAGCAACGTATCAGGAAACGTTCCCTAAAAGTCATGGCTGTGACACTTTTGTGGTGAACATTTCTGATGTCATTTGATTGTAGGTCTTTCATGATCTAAAATAGATGATCTGCGTGGATGTATAGTTCAATGAAATCAAAAGGGAATCAATGTCCTGTCTGCAGGTGTAAGAGTGGCAGGCAGCAGGATAAATGCAGCATCTACATCCACTACTTATCCACTATCCATTACAACAGTTTACTTTGACCCTTGACCTTAGCCGCATTATCAGCATCATTTAGCTGTATTGTATTGACTGATTGATTCCACTGTTCGTCCTCTCTGTGGATGTTCTGAAGACACAGATATTTTCTTACAGTAACATTCTTTTTTTTAAAGTGGAAATAAAGACAATTCTTACTTTGGATGCTTTTTGCTGTTTGAAGTGGAAAACATGGAACAGCAGCTTTAAGACATGATGTAACGGGGCTGTCATTTCTCCAGACAGTGGCTGCGTAGCGCTGCTCTCATCTGTTGAGCAGAATATGTAATAACCAATATTGAAGATCTAAATGACAGGATCAATAATTACAGTGGTTAAACAATGGTCTGTGTTGAGCTTCATCATGCTAGCATCCACTATGTTGCACAATCTTTCTAAATGTACTGTATGCTAATGACTAAACTAATGCCATGAATTTACATAATATACAGGAAGTCAGCAGAAATTAGTGTCAAGCTGAGTTTGTTTGGGTGACCCTCTTTTTCATCTTTTAAAATGTGCTGACACACACTTTAATGACCTTTTCTTCCCCCCTGTTATTTCATATTGCAGATGATGGTGATGATAATAATCTGGAAAGTGATTTTAGCCCCAGAAAATGAATACACATAATCCTCTTGTGGAAGCGATGATGATAAACACAAGATAACTCTTGTTGCTTTATGTGGGGAAGCCAGAGTTACAAGCCTGTGACGCATTTAGCTTCCTGACTCTATCGTTTCTATTTTTTTAGAGCTTCTGCCCCAGATGATGGCTCCTAATCTAGGAAGCTTTTTGAATACAGTACGTGCCAGCGTTTCCTTCTGCAGCTTTTGTGTTCTGGTGATCCAAACCCAGATGAAAACAAACAGGCACAGAGATAAACTGAAATAGACTAGACACAAAATGATGTGATTGCTGGCTGATATTGCCCAATGACCAATCAAACTATACCGATCTCAAACAATGACCGGGTTTACATTGAAAGATTGAGTTGTAAAGAGAACTGGACACAGCGTTGGAGGCGGGCCTCGTTCTCTCCTATGAAAGTTGCTCAGTGGTTCATGAAGCCAACATGTCCTGACTCTTAAGTACAATGAATAATCGGATCTCCCCAGGATCTTCTGGCGATTTCCCACAACCATAAAGCTGCATTCACATGATACGCAGTAAAACGTCTCTGCAGGACGTTGGCTTTGTGTTTCTATGGAGAGAGCTTTGCCTCCTGACTCAGCAGAAGCGCAACTGTTGGCGTCGCGAAAAGCTCAAATTTGTCGCTGAGCGCTGCACTCAAAGTCCATATTATTTAGAATTTGACTTAATAAATCATCAGATGACAGCTGTATGTAGTGGCACAAGCTAGCAGGGGACGTAACCATAGAAACAAAACTAACTAGCTGTTTTCACTGCAAGACTCTGCACCCAAACTCGCGGTGAGCAAATCAAGGGTCATGTGATTGCAGATGAAAGCATGCGCACTTCCATTTTTCTTAAGCCCTGCCTCTGATCCTCTCCTTCACCATAGCATCAGGTTCAGTCTCGGTCAGATAAATACAGTAAATAGAAATTACAGAAAATAACCAACAACTTTTTGGAACTATTGATTTAAAGGTGGGGTAGGTAATTTTGGAGAAACCAGCTCGAGTGCGCTAGAATTTGAAAATACACAACCGGAGAAAATCTGCCACTTCCTTACAGAGCCCCTCCTCCAACACACACGAACGCGCACATGACCAATGAGGGCACGAGATAAGTTTGTGCACAGATGGAAGGCTGACAGGCAGGTAGGCCATCCAGTTATTTTAGCCGGGCCGGCTAAAATGATTGGTCGTGCTTTTTACAGTATTACGGCTTCCACAGATGACATTTTTTTATGGATTTTTTGTCAAAGCAATTAAGATATTCATTGCTATCGGGATGTTAAGAGTATTTCATGGAATATAACAAAAAGTGTATCTCGAGCCGGTTTCTCAAACTTACCTACCCCACCTTTAAATGAGGGCTTTTACAAACATCTAATTTCCCCAATGTAAGTAAATGAGAAATAGTCTTTTGGGACCAATGGCACACGTTACTGACACAGAAGTGTTTTTACCAAAGTTTGCCACTACAAAAAATGTAAACATAGAAAGGCTGAATTGAATATGTTTTTTTCAAATGTTTGAGTTAGTTCAAACTTGTGGGAGAGATGATGCTGGTGTTGTGTTTCTGTGGTGCCTGTAAAGCACATCTTCTGATTTTGCACTTATCTTTATTTCACTGACTCTGTTTCAGTGCATTTCAAAGCCACAGTTCTACACATTTCACAGGTTCTATTCCCAGACATCCAATCATAGACAGTATTGTCCCACTCTGCAGCGAGAAATCATGTTTTCAGCTTCTATTTGAAGGAAACTGACATTTCCCTATTTCCTGCAGTCTTGTATAGGATTGTTCATCAATAGGCTGTATATAGCATTCACAATTTTTAGCGCTGTCATGTTGCCAGTGCAGAAATGTCGGTGCACTCCTCATAATAAATATAGAAGAATGCTGTCTGATTAGTTACAACCTAAAAGAAAACTGGCATATTTTCAGCAAATCAACCCCCCTGGTGTCTGGAGACAGATTCGTTGTTCTTGTTCCAGACAAAATAATTGATAAGAGTGTCTCAGTGCAAAACAATACAACAGGTTATGTTAGCACAACAATACAGACTAATAACTGCCTTTATAAATTATGTTTTAGTGTCTGGTATTAGATATATATATATACGGAGTTAATTAATATATTTGTGAATTGGGAAAAACTCAACAAATGATTAAAGAAAATACTTATTGGCAATACTGAGTGTAGCTGCTAGAAAAGCAATTAAAAGGAAAGGATTAAATCCAGACACACGGTCTGTGCAGGACAGGTATGAAATATTTGTAATGGAAATAATCCTCTTCCCCATGTGACCACAGGAATGGTACTTCGGTTTTACAGTATTTCAAAGGCATATTGTTTGATCTACAATCCAATTGGAATATGGTATAAAAATGTTGTATGAAAAGATGTGTACAGATAGATTTAGGACATTTGGGGGAGTTGGGAATACATATTTATCTAAATGTACTTGTTTAGTTACATTTTTTAGATTATTAAAATATTAACATTTATGTATATCCTACTTTGTAAAAATCTCTAACTGAAAAAGAGCTGCTTCTGTAATGTGATCCCAAATGAAGGACTAAATGTAAGGAAATGCATGATGAGAATCTATCAAATGTGAAAAAAGGGGAAGCCATCGTTTTGAACAGTATAATCCTTGTGCTGTGTACTGTATAAGATTGTTACTTTCACCAGCAGGACTACATAAACTCTCAAAAGTAATACAATATATGTGCTTCCTTTGCTCCCTGCAGCTTCATGTACTGGTCGGACTGGGGCACGCGGGCCAAGATCGAGAAGGCCGGCATGAATGGAGTGGACCGACAGGTGCTGGTGTCTGATAACATCGAGTGGCCCAACGGCATCACGCTAGGTGAGAGAAAAAAACGATTATCCTTAAATTACACCTCACACACTACTACATTATAAAATATAGTATGTAGCAATACAATTATTGCTAAAAGATCTCAATAAATATCCAATGAACTAAGTCTGAATCAGATTACAATAATTTATTTGTAAACCCTCGGGAAATGTATATTGTTACAGCAAAGGGGACAATGTCGATAAGAAAGTACAAAAAGCATAATTAATATATGATTTTTAAGAGGTAACTACAAGTTAAGAAACTCAAATAGGTACACATACAATATTAAAAAAATGATTTAACTAAGTAGCAGTATTGTGAAGTATGTGAAAATATGTAGTAAATGAAGTAGCATCCACTAATAACAGTACTAAACTGTACTTAATTTGAACATGAGTAGTGGGAATCAATCAGGTCATTGGAGTTAAAAAGCTCGAAAGTAATTGAAACAAAATGGGTAAATGTGAACCGATAATGGCAAGAAAGAGATAAATAAAGTTACCGCAGTTACTTTTGAATGACATTTCAAGTATTTGAGCCGTTATAGATCGACACAGTCAAAATGTGCGGCGGTGTAATCGTGAGAATCTGACATTTTAAAACGTAATCAATATCAACCTAAAGGGATTTGTTTGGTCAGAGTGCAAGAGTGCTCACCGCAAGACGATCAATTTCTACTCAGCTTGGGAAAGTCTTACCCACCTGTGTGTGTGTGTGTGTGTGTGTGTGTGTGTGTGTGTGTGTGTGTGTGTGTGTGTGTGTGTGTGTGTGTGTGTGTGTGTGTGTGTGTGTGTGTGTGTGTGTGTGTGTGTGTGTGTGTGTGTGTGTGTGTGTGTGTGTGTGTGTGTGTGTGTGTGTGTGTGTGTGTGGTGTGTGTGTGTGTGTGTGTGTGTGTGTGTGTGTGTGTGTGTGTGTGTGTGTGTGTGTGTGTGTGTGTGTGTGTGTGTGTGTGTGTGTGTGTGTGTGTGTGTGTGTGTGTGTGTGTGTGTGTGTGTGTGTGTGTGTGTGTGTGTGTGTGTGTGTGTGTGTGTGTGTGTGTGTGTGTGTGTGTGTGTGTGTGTGTGTGTGTGTCTCACAGATGTAGCCAACAAGCGTCTGTACTGGGTGGATTCCAAGCTGCACCTCATAGCCAGCGTGGATCTGAACGGCGCTCACCGCAGGACGCACATGTCGTCCGCCGAGACGCTGGGACACCCCTACGCTCTGGCTGTGTTTGAGGTTTGTGAGCTACAGATTTTTTTTTAAAGATTTAGTGTCCATGTCAATCTCTCTCATCAGAGGCCTTTAGGGTGACTGGGAGTCTGCATGTAATGACTGTTAAATTCAATTACTTTACGCTCTGTGTGTGTGTGTGTGTGTGTGTGTCCTTGTGTGTGTGTGTCCTTGTGCAATTGACTGCATAGTAAACATAAGACAGCTAGAGAGCAGCCTAAAGCAACACACACTCATTCTGTTGGACATCAGCCAGCTCCCCTCAGTGTGTGTGTGTGTCATATGTCTCAGAGAGAAACTTTAATCTGCTGCCTCATGGCTTCTTTGCTGTGTGTCTGAGCCCGTTTCTGCTGACAAACTCGCGTCTGGCCTGTCCCTGTTGGTGCCGCAGCAGCAGGGTCCCAGCCTCTATCAGATGGGTGCTAATGACATCACCCAGGAGGCCTTTTCCCCTGCGGGACCCCCCTCACAGAGAGCTGGTCTCAGTGGGAACAGAGATACAGATTTTATTCAGCAGGAGACCAGATTTACAAACTGGGATTTGATTTAAATGTTATCCACTTGAGTTTGGATTACATTTCAGAGCAAAATCATGAAACAGGTGACATCTGAACACTAACACTGGATTTAAATGTCTTGATTCATAAAGTAGCAACAGAGTAAAGAAGCATCATTAATATATGTATTATTACTTATAAACATCTGCATATTTTCTAATATACAATACATTTTATTTTGTTTTATCACATTTTTATTTGCACAAATGTTCTTAGGTTTATACACATATTTTACTTTATCTTGACTGCACACAATTTTTACTTGACTTATGTTTTATAGGAATATTTTTTGTTTTATTCTAATAGAACAACTGACACAAAATCCAGTTCCCAGTATTTCTATAAAAAATACTATATTTTCTGTAACAGAGTAGAAAACTTTTATTTTAACGTAATTGACTAGTACCTACACTTTTGGATTGGATTACACGTACACTCCATCACTCTCTTGTTTCTCTGCTAGTTTTAACCTTTAAAATATAAATACCAGCAGTCCGGAGCGTTTTCTGCTGTGAGTGCAGGCTGCAGGCAGCACTGTAGTGTAGGCCAGAGAAATGATGATACATTCCCTCTGTGGTGAAACACTCCATCGATCGGGCGCCTCTGCTCTCTGCCCTGTTGTGACAACAAGGTGACCTTCTTGTTCAGGATGTTGAACACTCCCCAGCCTCTGTGTTATTGAATGCAGCATGTTGTGATGCACATCCCATTACCATATCTTTCTGACTCAATGATTGACTCACACAGAAACACACACATACACACTCAAGGCCTATTGTCTCGCTGGAGAGTAGCCTGTAGTTTCTACGGCAACCGCAAAAGATGTCTTAATAATCTGTCGAGGTTGAGGAATGGAGAAACATAAAAATCAATAAGTTATGAATCATTTGTAAAATGTGCCTTTAAGGTAACATATTTTGATGTAAATAGGATACATTTTAATAGTTTAAGACATAACGCTGAGCCTGATATTTGATCTTATTAAAAAACACCTAGTAGATTCAATTTTCTTCCACTATAAGGCGTCTCCCCCCCCCCAATCCTGTTACCTACTGTTGCACTCCAATTGAATTAAAACATGCCTTAGTAACCATTTGCATTTCCTTGATGGATTTATGGCCTCATAATATTTGCAGCAAAAGCCAAAACACGCTCTCTCCTCTGCAAAAGATAATGAATTAGCCAATGTGTGGCAACAAAATATTTATCAGGGTATATTTCATTCGCCCTAATTTTCCTCACATAAATTAAACTCCAAGCGGAGCGTTTACAGATGTAAGCGGCGCAGCATGCAGCTCATGTGAGTCCGTACACAGCATGGCTTTGAACTATGTGCTTACACCAGCTGAGAGGAAACATCTAAATTAAACCCCAGAATAGGGCTGCACGATTTGGAGAAAAGAAAGCAATTGTGATTATTTTGAGTTTTGCGATATTGGAGGGATTGATCCTATGGCATCATTATTTTTATTATTAGTGAAAAAGATATTAAAATGAATATCAGGTGATTTTTTTTAAAGAATATTTGTACCAAAAAAACATGTTTTGTTAAGTCTGATATCTCTGCAGCTCAACAATACTACCTTTACCACAATTCGTGCTTCCTGCTGTTTGAATATTATTATATTATATTGCAATAGTCCATATCGCAATTTCAATAAAATTGTAATTAATTGTGCAGCTCTATAGGCGAGTCAGAGGATCCATTTTGAATCAAGGACGAACCAATTCGACTTTGGTGGTAAAAGGTCACTGGGACCTTACAAAACATTTTTTTATTATAAAGACATTATGGACAGACATGGTTGCAAACTGCAAATTGATTGGTAAGTGAAGGCATACAACCACATTTTTTGTCATAAGGCCTTTGTACAATCTTGCGATGGCACCAAAAATATCATCCTTATTGGATCATCAACTTCTGTTTATTATGCCTCCATGCTAGAGACAGCAGTGGCCAGAGGCATTATGATTTCAGTTTGAAAGACCATCTGCTCCCTTTTTGTGAACATGATTTTTTTAAATTACACCTTGAGTTTGTTTTTTCCAAATTTGGCGAAAATGTGCACTTACTCAATCATTTACTTATGAGATTTTGGAGGTAAAAAGCCAAGGTCACTGTGACCTAACAAAACATGTTTTTGGCCATAACTCATTATCAATAGAATGATTATGAGAACTTTACAAAAATATGTAATACAATAAAATGATGGAGTCAAGACATTTAGTTAAAACTGTACATTCAATATTTGAAGAAGGCATACAATGGCAATATATGTATATATATACTTTTTAATATATTCTGTTGTGCAGGATATTTTTGTCATAAAGCCTTTATAAAATCTAGAGATGGCAACTGTATTTTATTAAGTTTGACGGCACTAAGACATTTTCTCATTATTGTGGCAAGAGAAGTGATGTTTTCCGGTTGTCAATCCCTCCGTACCATTCTTCTGAACTAATATCTCAGGAAAGCCTTCAAGGATTTTCTTCACACTTGCCTTAAACGTTCACTTTTTTGAAGGACGAACAGACTAAACAATGGTGGTCCAGGGTCAAGGTCACTGTGACCTCACAAAATGTGTTTTTCGCCATATCTCAGTAGAAGAAGAAGAATTCCTTTGCTAATAATGACAATTCACCCAAATATCTTATTGGATAATAAAGTGAAAAGCTAACATTTTGGACATAAATGGATGTAAACTGACTTGACTGGTTAGCAGGAGCAAACAACTGCGAGGTGTTCATTATTTAGTCTTCTTTAACTATTGATCGTAGAGGATTGATAAAACATGTAGTTGTATGGCTCTGTCTTTCACACCTCAGCTTTTTAAATAGCTGTTTGTCTATGTGCTCATGGGTTCAATCCCAACAAAACCCTGCCTAACCTGCTCTGTGTTCGACTTTTATCCATCCAATCTTCCCCCCTGTGTTTCAGGATCGTATCTACTGGACGGACAGAGATAGGGCGGCCGTCTTTATGGCCAACAGGCTGACGGGTCAAGACGTCCACACGCTAGCCGAAAACCTCAACGACCCCAGTGACATCGTGGTCTTCCACCAGCTCCGCCAGCCACCAGGTGTGTGTGCACCGTATACTAGAGATATGTGTGTCTGTCGCTGTTTCCTCCCCTCACTGTGCGATTGTTCCTCCATGGATCCATGTCGGCCCAGGCCCCATGAATAAATGATGCTGGGGCTTGTAACTGTGGCGGAGTGATCAAAGCAGTGGGAGCAGCGGTTAGATTAACACTTCTGCCTCCTGCCCGCTCTTCTCTAACAGGACAATACAGATTTTGATAGGAACTGAACCGGGCTCTTAATCATGGATGAGATGGCTGTGTATTTCCGGTTCTGTGTGTCAGTGTCCATGTCTATATCTACCTCCTTTGATTCCTCCTTTCCATGCATGATACATGCCCATTTATATTTAAAACGTTTATTGTGTCACCACAATCTTTCCCATTCCATCTTCACCCCTACCTGTCTTTACTAGTTCATATCTAAATCAGACATGGAGAGATGTTCTTGGCAGGATAGTATTTACGGCAAGTTTGTGTATAACGCTATTTGTTATTATTTGTATACTGTCCTTGCAATGTGTATTCCTTGGCAAAGCTAGACAACAGATACAGCTACAAAGGCATTTCAGGAAGAAAGCTAGCTAACATACTTCTAGCTTAAATAGCACATGTAACTTTACAAAATAACATACTACTATCCTAAATGAATAGCACATGTAACCTTACTAGCTAACATACTTCTATCTTAAATACCAAATGTAACTTTACTAGCTAACATACTACTAGCTTAAATGCCGCATGTAACTTTACTAGCTAACATACTACTAGCTTAAATACCGCATGTAACTTTACTAGCTAACAAACTACTGGCTTAAATACCACATGCAACTTAAGTAGCTAACATATTGCTAGCTTAAATTACACATGTACCCTAACTTAATTTTTACCCAGAAAAGCTAAAAACACAACACCATCACACAATACCTACAGACAAAAAGTCCCCAAGGCAAAAGCTTGATAGCCACAAAAACAGCAACACTCATCCGAAATAATTAACAAACTAGAGAGCACTCACTCTGAGCCTGCACTTATTAGACCCATCCCATAGGCAGCACAGTTTTTGTCCTTTTAGATTGTGTTTGAACTTTGTAAAAGGTTTAATTTAAAGAGAATAGAACAGTTCACAAAATAAGCTGTCTCTCACTGACATCCTACTCACTCCCAATGCTGAACAAGGGATAATCGTATTTATATAACCACAACTGTTTAATTCTCCATGTCACTCTTTCTTTCTCTCCAGGCCCAGACAGCTGTAATCTAGGCAGCGTGGCCAATGGAGGCTGCGAGTACTTGTGTCTTAAGGCTCCGCAGATCACCGAACACTCGCCCAAATACACCTGCGCCTGCCCCGACAGGCAGGACCTGGGGCCCGAGATGAGAGGCTGTGTTCCAGGTGAGCGTGTTTACCCCTTTTAATTGGGTGTATTAAGTAATCAATAGCTCCTAAAGGGATTTATCGGGCAGAGCGCCACAGTGCTTACTCTGGAGATAATCACATTCTGCACCTCTTAAGTAAGCTCTTATTTGTTTTTGTGTTGAGTGTCATCAGAGGGGAACTTTAGGGATTTTGGGCAGTTGCCTAGTGGATTAATGCTGAAAAATGTATTGTTCTTATAATAATAGCTTGCACTTTTTAGAAACATTTGCTGACAAAACAAATAATACAGAAACACAATAACAGGAAAGAGTGGTAGCAATGCCTTCTTAGGCTAAATAAATAAGCCTGTATAAATCTATATTCCTACTTTTGATAAAAAAAATCTAAATCAAACAACTTTCATTTCATTTAATTTCAAACCTTTATTTATGCAGGTGAATCCCATTGAGATCATTGATCTCTTTTTCAAGGGTGACCTGCTACAAGTAGGTTCCACATTAATACATATAAATATAACAGAAAAACTTTGCCTAAATGCCTAAAAGACTGGGCTCTGGTTTCAGACAGAGGGTGGAAAGAGGTGCTCCAGCACAGGCAGTATGAGAAAAATAAAGAGCTTTTTGAACATTAAAGCATGGAAACATGTCACAGTAGAGCAGTGGTTCTCAAACTTTTTCTGTCAGGGCCCCCCTTTGGAGAAAAAAAAAAGTCGGGCCCCCCCAACACAAATAGTCAGGCTCAGTGGCGGCGGCAGAGATTTATTTTGGGGGTGCTGTGGGGTAGCTTGACGTTTCATAGAGGGTGCTCAAACATTTAGGGTTTCCCATTAATGTACCGGGCGCTACAGTGGAATTTTCTACTGCAACACTCCCCACACGCACATACACAGTGTACCCGCGACAGTTACAATGAAGGCTCAATAATCAGCTCACGGCATATAGGTGTAAGCAGGGGTAAAGTGCTATTTTTACAAGTGGGGAGTGGACCTCACATAGGGGGGTCCGGGGGCAAGCTCCCCCGAGAAAATTTATTTTTAAATATTGAAGTTAAAAGCATCAATCTGGTGCACTTTGAGAACAAAATGAAGAGATCTATGGATACCTCTCAACACCCATATGAAACAGAACTGTAAACAGATTAACTTTTTCTTTATGGATATTTTACAAATCACCTTTTAAACTTTATTCTTGTTTTACTATTTCATACCTGTTTTTCATTTATTCTCTTATTTTTTTGTAACTATAATGATCATATAAACGTGTGCCTCGGAAATAATTGTTTACATTAATGGTGACCAAAACATTTGAGACCCACTGAGATAACACTGAGAGAGTCCTTTAGCTCACTGAGGCCCCGGCTCCACGAGGACAAATACGGCAAAACGCATCGGAGTAACGCAAATGCAACCGCAAAAAACCTTCCGTCCCCACGCAATATACACCGGATTGTGTCAAGCTCCACGAGACGGCTCCGTTTACATCCAAACGCTGGAAAAGCTGCAGTACATATGCCGAACCTGTACGTGGCGCTGTAACTTCCTCCACAAAAGCAGCAACTTCCTCCACAAAAGCAGCGAAGAAGAATGGTTGTCATGGCTGCACTTCTGTGTATTCTCCGCGGTGGGGGCCGACAGAACCGGGCAGAGTTTTTCGCCGGTCAGCGTGTGTTAAAGTTTAAATCTTCCGGACAAAATTATAAAAGTGCCGGTCAAAGGTCTTCATTGTTATTTATTGAACTTTAAAACAAATGAATAACGACGATATAATGATATATAATCATCAAATACACGGAGCCTGTCTCTTTTTCCTCTCTTCTGACAGCGTCAGTGTCTGTCTCATGCAGCAGCTGATCCTGTAATGAGTGACCCGACAGTAAAAATGAACATATTTATAACTAGTTTAGTTTGAGAGGTAATTAAAATAGCTAAGGGTGATGATCTGACTTGAAGTGTGTGTTTTGCTCCCGCTGCATCACAGCGGCAGGAGCTGCGTGTCTCCGTCCTGTCAGATTAGACTTCACTCGCGTTTATGTCCATATCGAGATAAAGATAAATAATCTGAATTCAAGGAGGAGCTCCTGTAGATGTTGCACAAAGAACTGTAGCATGGTCAGTAGCGACTGGAGCACGATAGCAACCCTGCGGGGGAGAGGCGGGGCTATGAAAACGAATGACCGTATAGGCGACTCCACGGCCCCGTTGGACCCCCCAGAGCGCTCCGTTCCCAGATCTATCCACCTTTGGACCCGTTGTCGTTTGCGGGGTCTGTTTTCTACGTTTCCCTTACGGCGTCGTCGAGCTTAGAGGGCTATACGCATGAGAAATATGCGGATTCAACCCGTTTTCGTCCTCGTGGAGCCGGGGCCTGAGCCTCTCAGTCTGACAGGAGAGGACTCTCCTCCACTTTGTTGTTGTAAAAACTCCTTATATCCGTTAGCGTAGCTCGCTAGCACCAGAAGCTAACAACAACGATCTCCGGTACCGGTGCGCTCTCTCTCTCTCTCTCTCTCGCACACACAAAATGGCTCGTTCTACACACACACAGAGCCGAGCTTTAATGAAACACAGAGACCCAGACGTAATAGTACTGTACTGTATCATATTATTTTCGAATCAATAATTTTTCAAATTATGATTTTTTTTTTTTTTCTTCTTTTTTTTAATAACCATTTTTCCTCTTGGTCTCTCGCGCCCCCCCTGGCATGCCTCTGCGCGCCCCACTTTGAGAACCACTGCAGTAGAGGCATAGCATAGAAATATGAACCTGAAAATGAGCAAAAGATGTCCTCTTTTATACGTCATCTTTACAATTGTTACCTATTTTTGAAGATATTTGTATTGTTGCTGTCTTTCTGAAGTTCATTTTGCCATATTCACTTTATGCTATACAAGTAGTTTGGGGTTAGAATTGCCTGGTTACAACTGGCTTCATTTAGCACCAAGCTTAGCCAGCAGAACCCATTTAAAAGATTATTTAATATTTTATTTGTAATGAATAATAAATGATTAAATAGGCCCCCTTAAAGCAACATTGAACCTGTAAGCAAAAAACATAGTTGCTAAGCAACAATGCAGTGGATACAATTATATGGACCATTATGCAATCTAAGACCACATCTCTGGTTGTATGGCATCACAGTGGGATATATGATGCTGCCAGCTGCTTAAAACAGATCCCAGGACAGTTGTATTCCATGAATGTTCCTGACTGAAAGTTGTCATGGTGTTTACAAAGGAAGTATTAGTGGCTGCTGTATGATACCAAGGTGGAAATAAAAAAAGGAATGTGAAAATAAATCTTTGCTCGTGATGAATCCAAATAGGTATGATTGTATTATACTACCTGATTACATAACACATTATGCAATATATACATAATATTATAGAGGATTGTCCCGTATATCTTATTCTAAAGGAAATAAAAAGGAAGCATTGAAGCTCTAGGTCAATAGGTTTTTAGATGTTTCTAATGAATCATACATCAGTAAATCAGTTTCTCAGCTGAAGGTTTCTATGGTTCCTCTTCCTTCTATGCAGCAGCACCAAGAAACGACACACCAGCATCCTCACCTCCCACTGGATTCACACCTGGCACCAGAGCGACTGATGTGGACGACTTCCCCCCTCCCTCAGGAGGAGTGTCGCAGGCCGACGCCACCCCCCACCTGACCACAGCTCCCTCTGGGGGCCCTGAGCCCTTCACACCCCTCTCCACTCTCAAGCCTTTATCGTCACAGGCGTCAAAGGCACTGGGCTCCCACTCCACCGCCACCGCGATGGTGATGACCACCACCCCGGGGGGGGACAGCAGCGTCTCGCAACACTGTGAGTGGGCTGTGTGAAGCACTGACACGACAATACAAAGTCCCAGCAATTGTTGCGAAAACAGTAGCCGCTTTCACATCAAGTACTTTGCCGTACTTAGTTCCCAGCACTCAGTTCCCCCATGGAACTAAAGAGCAGATCGCGTTCACACCGGAATAAGTCCCTGAGGGAAGATTACGTAAATGAAGCCGCTGACGTCACTTCTTCTTCTTCTGCTTTGGGTTTACTGGCAGGCCGCAAACAACTTCACGGCGTATACTGCCACCCCGGAGTCCCCGGCCGGAAGTCCCCGGAGTTGGGGACTGGCTTCAGTAGAAGCTGCTGGGACTCCCAGCAGCTTCTACTGAAGCCTTCCGAGTAAATCGCCAGAACGCCGACACCTCCTCATCTCCACCGCTCCCATGTTTTTTTTTGTGTTGCCATAAGTTAGTCTCTCTGCGTTTGTGCGCTGGGCGAATGCTAATGGTAATAATGCTAATGCCACCAAATACAATGGCGGCTTCACAAAACCTTTCCGAGTTGTACGGGGCGTGGTTTGCAATTCGCCCAGCCAATCAGAAATTGGAACTTTTTTCTCCCCAGGAAAGTACCACCTCTCTAGCAGGGACTGAAAAGGGGGGAAAAGTTCTCATAAACTAAGTTCTCTTTTTGGTGTGAACGCAAAATCCCGGGAACTATCGGAACCAAAAGGGAAAAGTACGGGGAAAAGTACTCCGGTGTGAAAGCGCCTAGTGTTATTGACATTTGAGGACCATTTTTTATACCACCAATATAATAATATAGTTACATTACACATGCAAACAACTTAATATTAAGTTAAATAAATATATCCTAAACATCAATACCTGAAAACCCAAACGTTGGCTCTTTTATACTAGAAATACGCACATTTCAAGTCTTGTAAAAGTCAAGGAAAACCTGTTTAATCTGGCATCATGTCCATATATCGTTCAATAAGTCAGTAACGTAAAAATTATTTAAGATAAGTTCATAACATCATCTAAGTCATTTCCAAATATTGTACTATAAATTAAGAACCTGGATATTATCAAGGTACTGTTCAAGTATTTTACAATAATTCAAAGCGCTAACATTTTCAAGGTCATGTTTAAATATCGGAAAATAAGTTTATGATGTAAACGTTTTCCTGGTCATATCAAGATAGAGTACAATAAGTAAGAAACTAAATGTGCGTAATGACAGGCCTATTTGTGAATTCATAATGTTGAAATCCTGAAAATGCTGCTTAAAACTCTTTGAATAATAAATAGATATGTAAGAATGTATTCACATCAAATCACATTCTTACCAGCACTTCATGAAATCCAGCACGTTGTGATTCACATTTTTCCTGTGACCTCTGTGCTTCTCTGGATGATTTCAAAAGAAGCCCATTCATGCTTTAACAAAAGACGGTGTCCAATTCTCTGATGAAGGGGCACTTTCACCTGACAACCTCATCTCCTGCAAGCACAACATTCTACAGTCCTATTGACACTCATAGTGTAGCTAACCTCCTCCTCATTGATGACATTAGGTGAGGTATCTACTCGCCCCACCAACCACGCTCCACAGCCTCTAACAGGACTGATGGATGCTACCTTATCGCCTTAAAAATGTCGTCTTTCCTTGGATAAATTGTGCTCTGTGTGGACTCTGGGGTGTTTGTAAGTCTGCGAGGGCATGTGTAACTGCACATAAATAAGTGTGTCAGAAAGTATGTGGTATGTAAATGAGTGTGAGGTTACATAGAAGCCTGATGGAGCATGGATGGATGAAATGTGGAAGGTCAGAGGTAGAGTCAAGGTCACACTGACAAATGCCAAGCAGCTCTTCATTTCCCTCTCCGACTTTCATTTTCATTCCAACCTCTTTTTCATGATCTGTCTCTCGCTCCCACTCCCCGCCTCACAGTTTTATCTCTCTCACCTGCTTATCCCTCACTCTATTCCTCACATTTAATATCCCGTTCCTCACTCGTGTCCCCTCTCACGCTTTTCTAACCCTCTTCCTCTTTTTTCAGCCGGGAGAGAGCATTTCCTCATGGGCGAGAACCTGACAGTGGCTGTTCTGGGACTGGTCATCCCCATCGGTAAGTCCCCGGAAGTGTGTGTGTGTGTGTGTGTGTTGTGTGTGTGTGTGTGTGTGTGTGTGTGTGTGTGTGTGTGTGTGTGTGTGTGTGTGTGGTGTGTGTGTGTGTGTGTGTGTGTGTGTGTGTGTGTGTGTGTGTGTGTGTGTGTGTGTGTGTGTGTGTGTGTGTGTGTGTGTGTGTGTGTGTGTGTGTGTGTGTGTGTGTGTGTGTGTGTGTGTGTGTGTGTGTGTGTGTGTGGTGTGTGTGTGTGTGTGTGTGTGTGTGTGTGTGTGTGTGTGTGTGTGTGTGTGTGTGTGTGTGTGTGTGTGTGTGTGTGTGTGTGTGTGTGTGTGTGTGTGTGTGTGTGTGTGTGTGTGTGTGTGTGTGTGTGTGTGTGTGTGTGTCATTATTCACACTGTGTTGCACACTTTTTTGCAGCAAGAAGGCAAATGGTTAGTTGAGAAATCATTTCTCACTGACTGCTAGTTGTATCTAGGCTACGGAAGCCGAGAACTGCCCTGCATGAGAAGTTTGTTTTTAACACCGCAATTTCCAAATCACAAGTTAATATTTATTTTGTTTTCTCATGATATAGGGTAAATGATGCTGGTTTGAATCATGACTGCTGGAAAGGATTCATTACTAAAACAGAAAATATGGGCATAAATGTGTAATTAATGCCTTGATTTACGTTTGTATATGCATATGAGCAAGTCTTCTCCGTAGATGATGCGGACTGTCCTGAATCTGATTTAAAAAAGAGGCTTTTCTGCTTGTGTTAAACCTTGATTCAAGTACAATCTGATGCATACATGTGTAAATCCTTAATAGACACTCCTTGATCCAACATGTCCAGATTAAATTGGCTGCTATTGTTGTCGACGCCAATCTATGTATGCTAGCATGGCAGTCCTAAACTCTGATGAACTTAAAAGTCATTTGAGGAAACAACCTTTAGTTTTCGGCAGGTTGATTATCTTGTTATCTAGAGATTACAAAGATTGTAAACAAAATAATCAACTTGTGATTTTGAGATAATGGCGTTTAATACAAATTCCAAGCAAGGCCCTTCCTACCTTCCGTACAGGCCGTAGAAAGTTTTTTTTAAAACCAATGTCAACCAAAGAACAGTTCATGCAATGAAGGGTAGAAAAAGAAAAACATAATTTATGTTTGGAAAATATTGCCCTTGGCTGAAGCAATGAAAAAAAAAAGGCAGTATTAGTTTACAGAGACTGTTCTCATTAAATACCTCATAAAGGGAACAGACGAGAAAAAACACAACATATAATCTTTATTGGTGCTTCATTGATGTCATTTAATGATTCATTATTAAATCACAATGCTTATTCAAGAGACATTAGCTAAGGCTAAGTTGCCCAGATATTGTGATGTAACAGGATAGTTAAACTTTTTCCTCCTGAAGCAAAGTTTAAAACTAAATTGCTGCAAAGCCAGGCCAGTTATAGCGCTCCTAGCTCCTGATAATTTCATCATTTCTTGAAAATAATATAAAATGTGCACTTAACCTGATCACAAATAAATTAAATCCAATTAAGTAATAACATGACCATCAATGTAATGACCGATTGACCAATGACTGATTTCAAAATATATAACTTGTTCCAATCATGTAACTCCTTTTTTGGTGGGTACTTGAAAGTCAGTTGTAATAACGTAATACGTTTTCGTACTGTAAGCATCATGTTAGCCAATTTAAAACACTAACATGCGACACTGATTTCATGTTTGTAAATGTTAACTTAATTAATTATTGATATTAATTACATCCGATTTGGTTAAGTGCAACATATTTTATATTTTTAGGCGTTCAGGAAATGATCCCATTGGGCGGCAAAGTGCTTTACACAGCTGCTTCAGAGTCTGTCTTTAAAATCTGTTGCTTGGTGTTTGATGTTGCGAAGCCACCCGCACAGAAAACCTCTCTTAACCCCCTACACCTCCCTATAGAGAGGCGAAGTCCCGCCCATCTACTTCCAACTCATGGGACCTTATTACGGAAAAAATATGTATTGAAGTCAATGGGGAGAGAAAGATTATCTTTCGATCCCGTTTGAATTGTGCCACGAATTACACATATGATGTTTGTCAATCTTAACAAATAATTTCCATGTCAAAAAAGTCACAGTTTGTCGTAAAACTGTTGAAATATAAGACTATGAAAAATACGCAACTAGAAAGACTACAAATCCCAGAATCCCGGTCCCGCAAGCTGGCTCTTACGGAACCGACTAACTCCCCTTGTGTGTATGTACAGCTCTCAACATGCCCAGACTTGTAGTGATTTTCACCTCTTTTAATACTTTTCGCCTCATTCTGAAAGAAAGAAGTGAAATGTGCCAACGTGACGGCCGTCTTGGTGTGTGGTGCGAGACGGGAGATGTAGTTCATTGAGCGGTTTCACACAAAACAAAGTGTTACTTCACAGTTTTACGACACATTTTTATTTTTTTGACTTGCAAATTATCTTTTAAATTGACAAACATCATATGTGTAATTCGTGGCACAATTCAAACGGGATCGAAAGATAATCTTTCTCTCCCCATTGACTTCAATACATACTTTTTCCGAAATAAGGTCCCATGGAGCTCCCCCTGAAAGGGAGGGACTACGCCTCTCTATATGTGCCCCGCATTCCTGCCCCGCCCCCCATTTCACGCCATGGACTGGTTCTGCCTCGTTAACGCTCCCCTTCCCCTGTCCCTGCCGCTGTGTGTTAAACGCATGCAGTTCCTATCGTTGCCACAGTGGTGTTCGGCCCTGGTGTGTGCCGGGGTCTACATGGTGTGGCGCAACTGGCGGAGCAACTCCACCAAGAGCATGAACTTCGACAACCCCGTCTACCGCAAGACCACCGGCGAGGGCGAGGAGGACGAGATCCACATCGGGCGGTCGGACGGCATGGGACACCACGTGCACCACCACCCGTACCCGCCAGGAGTCAACATGGGCGTGGTGGGAGCAGGGGGCGGCACCTGCCCGCAGTTCATCGCCCTGCCACTGGGGGGCAGCATGCCCGACCCGGGGACTCACTGGTACACGGAGCAGCCCATGCTCTCCACGGCGAAGTGACCCCCGGGGGAGGACTCAGGGGGAGACGGCCGCTCAGGCACACGCACACACAGCGAGTCAGGGGGACACGGACTGAGTTTGTAGAAGGTACGAACATCAAGTGTTACGTCCAGACAAGTCCTGACTCCTATGCCAAATTCCATTTGAAAAACAGCCAAATTAATGACTGACATGGTTCTTTAAGAAAAATGTTTCATACCTTTCCTGTGCTGGAGCAGGATCTACTTTTTTCCGGTAAACGCTGAGAATTAGTTATTAATGTGTTGTAACGTGAACCCGACATTGACCTGAACTGGAATACGGAGTCAGACTGTTTCATCGTTTTGAGTCTCTTGCATTGGTAAGTGTGCTGTGTGTCGTATATTTTGTGACGTGGCTACTGAGAGGTCCTGTTTTGTGTTTAGTTTTTCTAAATTTGTGTTATTCCTGGTTGGCCGCAGAGTTCTTGGAACACCTGTTTAGAAAGGAGAAGCTCTGAAACTGATACAGTATCCGCGTTGATGGGACAATCTGTACAGATTCACGTTAGAATCGATCACAAATGTCATCAACGCATTACTGGAGCTGGCTTTTGTCAATTTCCCTGCATGGGTGTCCTTCAGTAAGACTTTTTCCATCCTGATTGATTTTAAAGAAAGGTTACCACCCACATTACGGCCTTTCTCTCTGGTTCCAGGGAAAGCTTCTCAAGGGTGATTTGTTATTTCAGAGTGCAGAGAAACCGCATTGATTTAAGGGGAAATGTTTTTATTTGACACCCCAGAGTTTTGCGGATTGGAGAGAAGACAAACAGTATTTAGAGAACAGAGAATTTGCGGTTAGAAGGAAAGTGGATTTTTTTCACGCACAAGTCCTTTCTCATTGTGACTTATTTATATGTTAAATGGTTTGAGATAAAGCAATAGACTCCAGCTTTAAGTCAGGCCGCAGCGTTTACGTGGTGGAGAGAAAACCCTCGAGTGTTACACTTTTATTTGATCGCCCGCTTTTGACTGTGACAAAATGCGCACATGAATACACATGGGGCGCAGCGATGGCAAAACCCCGCTGCTCTCCAGAGGACGGAGACAATGTGCACTCGCCCTCCCAAAACACAAACAGCATGCATAATCGCTCACCAGCTGACAATGCAGCCATTCATTGTCCCAGACATACACACACACAAATGCACGCACACACTCACAGAAGCACGTTGGATTTTAAAGCCCGCTCCCCTCCTCCCACTCAGATCTGTGATATCAGAGCAGACAGTTTAGATGGTGCCATGTGGTGGCATGATGAAAAAAGACCTGTCATGTGATGTAACCACGGAAAACAAAAAAATCTGACTGTGATGTAACAAGGGGGAGAAAAATGTGCTGGTTTAGCTACGTCATTCCCCTATTTATAAACCTTAAAAGTGTGTGTGTGGGTGTGTGTTTGTTCATTATTATGCATGCGAGTGCTAATGTTCATCCCACAGCCATATTTGAACCGTTTTGTATGCTCTCTGTTGCACAACCCTCTTAGAATGCCTTCTGTAATGTGGACTGCATGTAAGGAAACAGTGTGTGAAAGTGTGTGTGAATACACAGGTGTGTAAGTTTATGTGTGTGACAGTGTGTGTATGAGACAGCGTGTGACACTTGAGAAGAGGGTGCTTTTTGATTCATTGATTTGTAAATATGTTTTCATAAGGTTTTTTGATAATGTATTATACAATTATGTAAAAGAAAAAGATGTACATAAGATTTTAGATAAAGTGTCGACAGGTATATTAATTTATTTGTATAACAGCAGAGCACTGCATTCCCTGATTGTAAAGATTTGAATAATCCACCAAAGTGGTTTGTGTTGTTTTTCTTGCCGTGCACCACTTAGCGTCCTTATTTTGTGCAACCATTCTTTTCTTTGTTGCCCACGTAAAATATGGCGTCCCATTCCCGACAACCTGAGTATTAAGGAGATGATTCATTTTTGTTTATTTGTGCCTTTTGGTTGATTTATTTTGTATTCTCCTGTAGTGTTTTTCAAGATAAAGACAGGGATCAGCCAACTACTGTACATGCAAAGATAAACTGTGTATGAAGACCAAACTGGTTCCACTTTTTGATTTTCTGTAATGGATTACTTTTGAATATCTCTATATATTGATATATAAAATCTGACTGAAAATATCCTCAATGTGTGATTTTTTTTTTTTTTTTTTTTCTACAACATATCAAATATGAAACATACATTGCACAAACATTCTGCTCAAAGAAAATGATTCCCTTTCATTGAAGATCTGCTATCTTGAATTTCCTTTTATTTTTCAGTCTTTCATTTGTTGTTTATTTGTAATTCTTTTAAAACAACGATGTGTCAAATGTGTGTAATGACAATTGTGTGGCAAACTCACAGAGAATTCTTCCCAAGCCCAACCATTCCCCTCACTTGTATGAAGTCTTGAAGCATGTTTAAGCTTGTTTTGGTTTTGCGGCCTGACATTTTTTCTGTTTGATTCCGGTTCACTGCACCAGTTTCTGGACGTTTTTTGGTGAAAAAGCAATGATAAACCAACTGTCAGCATTTCAGTTATTTGCCAGTACCCTAATGACAGCCATTTAAAGTTAGCGACTACTGTAGCTAACCTCTAAATTAAAACCTGGGTGCATTCAGAACATATAGTTAGTCAGAATAGTATTGACCAATCACGTTTGAGCATGCTTTGGTTGAATGCAGGAACCAATGGCCAAAATACAATCTTGGAACCTATTGGCTATTTAGCGCTTTATTAGCTTGTAAATTGGCAACTTGTGAAACAATCGAACTCTATTCTCCTGTCTCAAGTTGTAAATCGGACTGTAAACAATGAGCAGGACACAGAAAAGGAAGCATTGGCCTCGTATATCTGCTAGCTTCACCAGAACCCAGGAAATATTGGCTTTTGCCCTCAGAGGCTTATAATCGTCAGGAGAGTAGCTGATGGATTCAGAGATTAGGGGCTAGCTAGTGAACATAGACGGGCATTGAGAAGCTAAAGAGTTGGATATTTCCCTCAGGATTTAGTATGGACAAAAAGTGTTGGTGGATATTGGACAGACATACATTTGGTCAGCCTAAAATGTGATGCTAATGCTGATGCTGATATTGCTACGTGTCTGCTGGATCTATAAACAGGCCAACACTTTAGCTCTAACAACCATAGGACATATATGTCAAATGTGTGTGATTGGGAGATGTTTGTGTCCCAGAGTGGCAGAAAATGCAGGATTAAAGATATCACCTATAAGTCAACAAACACATCTGCTAATAACGTACGGTGTGTTTACTTTTTCTTTGTGTAAATTGCTCAAATGTAGGATAATGTCTTATTTTTCTAACCTTTATTTTACCTGCTATAGGCTGGTTGCCAATTAAGGCTGAAGCAGCAAAACGACTGAATGAATTGCTGATGAATTTGTGTTTTTCATGTTGAAGCGTTTAAGAAGCTGCTCCTACAGCATGTTTAGAGTCCATTCTGACTGAGCTGCTTTACACATTCATCCACTTACAAAGTGATTCATCAGCAGCCAGGAAAAGTCGTGGTTAAATCCAGTCCATTATCATTATTAAACTGAAGCAGGGTAAATGCTTTTTAGCTCTTCATTGTTGTACCAATCCCCATTGGGATCCTGTGTAATAGGTATTTGTTATTCGTCCAGTTGGTTTTGCAGCAGCACAATAGGTGTCATATGTGTTCACTGAGCACAAAGGCAACGATGAACACAGAGATAGAACACCTTTATTCCCTCTAGCGTGAAGGACTCTTTAGGTGGGGGATGCTGTTTTTACACTAATGCATCTGTAAAACAGGCACATGGCATATATCTACCCATGAATACATATTGTAAACATGCTTTAAAGGGACAGTACCCCATAATCCCTATACAACTCAGTGCAGATTGTTTTGATGTGAGTTGCAAAATGTTAAGATGTCTGCCTTCTCTAAAATATAATTGAACTAGACGGTTCTTCGCTTGTGCTGAAGGCATTTGAAAAGTTTTACATCAATGTCTCCTTCAAGAAATCAAATATATGTTACTCAAGAGAATAGACAGACCTTGTTGTGAGCAGTTTCAAGAAGGAGCTATTTTCTATTTTCTACCATATCACCACGCAGAAGGAAGCTTGGAAAAGCCTCGACCATGAGTAGATGCATGCATCGATACTTTAGAAAGAAGATATTTCCTACACAAAACTTCTCACAAGAAGCTCTGTGGATTACCTTGAGTATCCTGGTCCTATTTCTTGACATATTGCTGTTGAGTTTTTCAAACATATTTTTTGGGCACAAAGCCTGCCATCTAGTTCCATTATACTGAAAGCCGATATCTCGAAACTCAGGACCTAACGCCAAAACATCTACACTGATAGCACTCGGGTAAGAGGGGAAATATGTATAGATTTTGGGTGGACTGTCCCTTTCTTAGTTTATCAATAAACATGGGTCATCCATGCAGAGCAAAACTGATTTCCTTACTTGTGTCACTTGATAAGTGTTTTTCTGCCAATACCGCATTTCATCATAAATGTGATGGAAAAGCAGCTGATTCCATCTTGATCTAACCATCTCTCTCTCTCCTTCTGAGGATATATATTTTCTCAGGATCATTACAGCGCCAGGACAGTCACTCAGCCAGGCCGGCAAGTATTCTCAGGGGAAATGAGATGGCTTTGCTCCGTGAGACGGAAACCCAGCCTCCTCCCCGTCTCCACTCAATCCTTTTTGTCTTATCTCGCCAAAATAATCTTGAGTCCTTGCACGAAAAAAACTAAAACCTCCGTCCCTTACCGTCTCCCAGGGGGTTAGAAGGAGGAAGGCCACTCAAAACGCATCTGCTTTCACGCCTGACTGAGTCATACCAGCTGCCATACAGTGGGTTTGCAGGTGAATCTCATGGTGTCCTCTCTCACAGTGGAGTTAGTACACTTCTGTGGGAGTCATGTTTATAATTGTCTGACACACTTGAAAGGGATTAGATCTAATCCCCTGGATATGCTCATTTTAGAACTCCAGGTTTATGTTTATTGTTGCTCTCTGTATGTATTGTACTGCTTTTGAATTGGCTGTCTTTAATAATAGCAAAATGGAGAAGCCATGCCCCCTGCTGGTCAGGTTTGTCGCTACAGCAACAAAGCTGAAGAATGTGTTTCTTATGCCCCACCATAAGAGCATGTTCCGCTCTTTAAAACAAATCGGATTTTGGGTATTTTATTTTTAAAAGGCAGTTTATACATCAGTATAGCAAATACTAGCAAGATGGTTTATTGGCACCAAAATGTATTGTCTTACAAGTGTTTGCCATGCAACATTTTGCTTTTCATGTATATTTTACACACATTTCCTTTAAAATTGCTAAGAGAATGTATATACTGTAATGATCGGTACGATTCTGAAAACAAAAGAAAACATAGAATTTGTAATAGTTTTCAACATATACTTATGGCCCATACAATTGATCTAATAAATATATTTTTGTATAGCTTTGTTTGCAAAGATAAGCTTGTATTTGGATCTGCAAAGATCAGAAATGTCTTTATATTAAAGGTCCCATGTCATGGCCATTTATACTGATCATAATTCCATTGTTGAGGTATACTAAAATAGATTTATATTGTGCAATTTTCCAAACTCACATTGGTTTCTCATACAGCATCTCTGTATAGTATGTGTATTCACTCTCTGTCCTAAACGGCTTGTTGGAGCTCCTGCCCCCCCCCCTCCCTGTGAGCCCAGTGGCCGTCTCCAAGACAGCGAGACACAGCGAAAACCCAGCCCGAACACACACACACACCCGCAGCCTGGCTGGGAGTTTGTGTGTGTGTGCTCACACACCAACTCACAGCCTCGCCGCGTCCCGCCGTCTCAGGGAGGACAAATCGGCACAGCTGCAGCTGAGAAAAAATTGAGTGTGTGTGTTTGAGGAAGTTTTAACGTAACGGCTCCGCGGACGTAACGTAACGGCTCCGCGGATTGGTCCATTTGGACCAATGGGTCCATGGGGTCGTCGTTACGTCACTTGACGTCGCCGTTTACATGCAGAAAAAGCTACATAACACACAAGGGGATGGGTAATAACCAGAAAAGCATGACATGGGACCTTTAACATTAAAGACAAAAGTAAGCAGCATATTTATTGTGTACTGCATCAGGATTGATGACACGGTAAGCTTTATCCCTTATACAAATGAAGTTGCCTTAACTACGTCATCCAATACAAAAACAAGCTAATGCTGGTGTTAATGTCCAGAAATCATAAACAATATGACAGCAGAGGCTCAACCCAAGCAAACAGCGTCAGCATTAAACTGGGGTTCAAAGTGCATCAGACAGAAAAGAGCAAATGTGAGAGCATCAAATATCTTCAGATTCTTTTTTCCAGTAGGCTACAAAGCTCGAGCTTTAGCATGGGCCTGCAGCAGGGTAGCGGTGTCAGTGTGGGAGCCTTGCGTGGCGATGGAGAGAGCAGTTTGACCACGCTGGGGAACGAAAAGAAAGATAAAGATTAATATTTTATCTTAAAATAACAGCTTCAAAAGTCAAACTCATTTTGATGTTTAGCTCAGGTAGTTTCTTGTTTTTACATCACTTCTCAGGCCCAGGGTGGTGGGTGATTGTTAGCAGTGACTGAAACGCGCTAGTTATTTTAGCTAGCTTGCTTGGTCTTGTACTGCTACACTTGCTTAATGTTTGGGTGTATTTGCACACTATTGCATCATGTTGTTTTAAGTTAGATCCAGTGGACACAGGCTTCAACACCCATGTTTAATGTTATCATGCAATTCTTAAAAGGTTTAGGAACCAGCCTTTTAGCCCTGTCGTTGTCATGTTGACGTTAGCATTTAGCGTAAAGCACCACTGCGCTAAAGTACAGCCTAACAGAGTTGTTTGGTGTTAGACTCTAGTTTTAATGGGAATCACTGCATCAAGGTACAGAATTAAGGCTCCCCGCAGACAATTAAATAACAAAACTATTTGCAAGGCTACATTTATGTCCTGAGGAGAAACGTGGTAAGACTTAATTTCATCAGACTTAATTTAGTCTAATTAGTCTGGGTTTGTGTCAAGGTGAAACGTGGTTTAGAATTGAGATGCCTGTGGTTGATGGTGCTTAATTTAGTCTTGAAAAATAACTACTTTAAATGCAGACTGTGAAAAATAGATCAAACATTTGCATCCTCTCCTCCGCCCTCTTGCCTGCCTCCACTCGCTCCAGACTGGTAGATAAGGTACTGTTAGCGGATTAGCTCATCTCAGCACAGGGAGATTTGTTTTACTGTAGCCCCGATTAATCCTGGGAAAGCTTTATTCTGCTGCATGCAGATTGACAGTCCACCCACGTCCATACAGTGTGAGTCAAAACATTGAAGCTTTCATACATCTAAGCTCCTTTTTGTGTTCGGTTGTGTGAGTAGAAAAGTAGATACACTGTGTTCTTTTTGTTAACAAATATAACAGGATTTCACAGGAGAAATGGAGTTGGCGTCATCATATGAACACTATATTTCTGTAATTTATTGTAGTGGGGGTGCTGCCTCCTGCCTGTAGTATTTTTGGGAGAATTTCTTATCCAATTAACTGAGATTAATCCGGTCAATGGTTAAAGGATTTTATTGGAAGGAAGTGTGTTTTCTGCAGTGTCACCTTGTCGGTCAGAGTGAGGTCACACTGGCTCCTCTCCAGCAGCAGCCTTGCGATGTGTGTGTGGCCCCTCTCAGATGCAAACATCAGGGCCGTTGCTCCCTCTCTGTCCTGCAGGTTAGTGTCTGCTCCACAGCTCAGCAGCAGGCGAACCATCACAACCCGCCCGTGTCTCACAGCCAAGTGCAGAGCTGTTTGGCCCGTCTGTGGAGCGGGACCGAAAATGACTACTTAGCGATTTGTTTAAAAGTTCGTATATATTTATCTCTACATGTTTTGCCTCTTAATTGTATACTGTTCATCTTTAGATTCAGGTCATGCTATACAATTATTGTATTTTCATGTGTCAAATCAGTGACCCAGGATGACCCTTTAATGTTGTGTCAAAGTATATGATTTAACAATAAAAGTCCTCTCTTTACCTACAAATAACAACCCCCACACCAAAAATGTGTCCTATGTAAGCCTTATTGGGTGTGTTACCTGGCTGGAGCGTATATTAATGTTGCTCAGCTCCATTAGCTTGCGGACCACCTCCATGCCGCCGGGTCCATCAGGGGCGGTCAGCGAGGCGAGCATCACTGCGGTGTAGCCGGCGTTGTTCTGAATGCTCAAATCACCCACACCTGTATGGCAAAGGAAAACGTTTTTCAGTGTTTAAAAGCCAAATACTTCTCTGTCCACTAGCTCTGCAACACACTGCTGTTACCTGTGTCCAGGATCAGGCTGACGATGCTGTAGTTGCAGTGGGACACGCTGTAATGCAGCGCAGTGTTGCCGTTGTCGTCGGCCATGTTGATCAAGAAGGGCAGCAGTGAAGGAGTGACTCTCTTCACTTCTCTCAGGTATTCAGCCACCATGCTGCACACTGAGGCCTCCTCTGCTGCCGCACTGAACCAGTGCTGGAACAACATGACCAGGGCCTTCCTCTGGGGAAACAAAGAGGGAAACATAAGGAGAACTTTAGATCAAATTTGGCCTACACTATTCTATGCTATGACAAAAGACGGAGTTTGGTAGCGTTGTGAAGTAGCGTGGGATCTTGGTAGTTTGTCATGGCAGTCAAGCTTTTTCAGTCTTTACTGCACTGTTCATCGTTTAGTAGGTTTTTTACTTTAAAGCTGTTCCACGGAAAAAAGTGGACAAGGGATGCAGGGGCTTGGATCTAACTGCTAACTTTGCTCAGCTTTTTTCTCTGATAATTTAAAGTGGACCTATTATGCTATATTGGAAAAATATATTGTAGGGCCATACCTATACAAAACATGTCTGTGAAGTTTTTTGCTTAAAATACCAAACAGATCACCCATTGTAGCCATGCCTCATACTGCTCAAACCCCTCTTTTGCAGCCCTGTTAGAGAAACGCGGATTTTGGGTCCTTAGCTTAAAAAAAAAAAAAAGAGGAGGCGGAGCTAATGGCTGATCAGAATTCTACCGGAGATGAAGTTAAATTCTGCTGTGATAAAACGCCATCCTGTTCTAAATCACATCAAGGATTATTTCTGAAACAGTATGGAGCTCAAATGCTTTTATCACAAGGTGAGTTCCTTTTTTTTATTTCCTGCTTTTTAAACACATGTGCTCTCCAGTACAGGTTAGCTCTGAGTGTTAGCGAGGCTTGCTAATACCATATTACGTCCAAAACACGTCAGGCATTGTCTCTGATAGCAACTTTCTGTGGGTCCACCGCCGATTTGACGTCATATCGGCAGCAAATCTGTATCCGCTCGTTGTACCCCCGTTTTTAAAAGATTTGGGTACGAAGGAAAAGAGAAAGTGTTTTATTTTCTGACGCTGCGTGAGTTCCCCGACACATCGGGGACACATATTTATGTATAAAAGACATAAAAAAGTGCATTTTGCATGATAGGTCCCCTTTAAGATCTAAATGTTGAGAGGGTTGTTATCAGGAGTCAACATATCTTCAAAGGGCTACTACGAACATTGATTCACGAGTTTCTTAGATGCTGTTCAGTTGAGGCGGACATTTGCTCTACTGGTTTTTCTGATCACTTTTGACCCAAATGCCCAATGACAAAAATCAAAGAAATTGTATCGTAAAAATTTGGCTTAAAAACTGACCAAGTCAGTCTACTTGGATTAATCGTTTGGATGAGTAGCATGCCTGCCTGTTTTAGCAAAAATTAAATAGTTTCAGAAGCAGTCAGCATAGAACTGGATAAATAAGATTACTTTAATACTATACGGATACCATAACTGTAATAAGCTGAAAGTTTCTTTGGAAGAATCCAGACTGCTCACCATGTCTTCATTGGGGTTGTCCATGTTTTCCATGTGATCTTTGAGGAACTGACAGGCAGCCAGAAAATCTGCATTCACCGTCTCCCTAGAGGAAGGAGTATGCGTGCATAAGGAAAGAGAGAAAAAAACCCAAGCAAAAGAAACATAGCCCCATGGGATGAAATAAAAACACAGGAGCTATTCTCTGAAGAGTAAACATCACAATCATAAAAAGTGATAAGGCGTTTGTTCCGGTTGCCTCACCTGCCCCCGGTGCTGGTTTGTGAGCCAGACTTCCCCTCCATCTGTTCTCCTGGGGGTTTCGTTTTGGCTATTTTCTCAGCTTCCACAGACGCTACGCCTCCATCTGTCCGCTCTGATCCTGCTCCTCCCGGTATCATCTGTCCGTCTGGGCTTGTGTGCCTCAGTCCCTCAGACAGTCTCAACTCTGGGTCTGCTTCTTCCTGCGGAACAGCCATCTCCGTAGGGCGGATGCTACTTTGATTTTGCGTGCTTTGGTTCACACAGTCTTGCCCAACCAGATTTCCATTTTGGGGACTTTAAAGAAAATAATGTAAGAAGAGGACAGCAAAACAATTAACCACCACTCAAAACGCTGGTACATTTCGGCAGATGAAAATACACCCATCAGATCTGTTAAAAGGACAAAGTTCACCTTTTTTTTCTCATCGCAGTGTCTGAGTTGGCTCATTTTGGAAAAAGACAAAGATTTTTCAATGATAGCCATATGGCATTGGCAGGTTGACGTCAATAAGAAAAGTAAGGTAATGTAAAAATCTAGAATCACATGTTTTTTTTAAATCTGCGTTTTTTTGTCCACATTCTTCGAAGACATTCCTTGCAATATTCATATTTATACATATAAATTAAGAATATCATCCTTTTAAGAATGCCTTTTATGTTAAGACACACTTCTTCTCCCTGGCCTTTTAGTCAGAGCGGAGCACGACTCCTGACTTTTCCCTGTGTTTTATTTATTGTCTTTTATTGTGATTATAGAAATGTGTTTTTATGTGATTGTAGTTATTACATGTACAGCACTTTGGCCCCACCAAAAATCGCTTTTAAATGTGCTTTATAAATAAACCTTGATTTGATTTGATGTGTTGACTCATAGAACTACAACTCAAGAGACTCGATATATTTATAAAGTTGTAATCCTTTAGCTAAACTGGAAACTTCCACAGTCACTTTTTCCACTTTTTTTGCCAGTATTTTTTAAGTAATAAATAAACTCTCTTTGGAGGCTTTGGTAAATGGCAAATGTTTTTCTTCCTTAACCGACAACTTCAGAGGGATTGGCATTCATCCACAATCTTAAATGATGGTGTTTGTCTCAGGCAAAGTAGCTTAAACAACCTCAAGTTAGTATGTCTGTCAACCAAAACTATGGTTTAAGCAAAAATCATAACTCTAAACGTTGCTTAAGTGGGTGAGTTATTTACTAACCCATCATTAACACCCACAGAATGGAGGCTTTTTGACATCAGGGCGCATCCGTCTGTCCGCATGGGGGATTTAGAGGCTGCGTGGAAGACAAACAGAGGGTATGATGAAATATTACAACACGGCTGAACAACAACATTACATGCCCGTTAGGAACACATCAGCATGCTTTATGGCTTATTGTCATACTTTAAGAGACAAGTATTTCTTCACAAAAGCTATTTAGTCAGAATTGTTTATACTGAAAAAGAAGAGAGTAAATTAGTCAGTGAATTGTGGGCCTAGATGTGACAGTGGAACATCATGATGTAGCCTTGATGGTAATAGACATAAATGTTCAGTACATTGAGTAAAATAAAAGGATTATTTTGTCAAATTGTATGTGCTGTTAGACAGACTAGCGTCTTCATGAAAGGGAAATGAGCTTGTGGTTTCTCACAAAAATGTGATATGTTTCCATTGCTGTGGTTCTTAGCATAAACAAGTTAACTCCAACTCTGTTTTACACAGATTTGTCCACTACACAGAGCTCCTATGCCTAATCTAACAAAATAACAAAAACTAAAATATTTAACCCTAAAGGCTTCAATTTAAAGCATTTCAAAGTTTAAAAAATATATTTTTGAATATTTCATATTCATTTTGCGATTAAAGTTCAGATTCTACTGATACCAAAGAGTATAATATACACATTATTCTGCCAAGTTTTAACTGCTTTGACCAGCCATAGTTATAAATAACTAGACATGTTCTCCAAAGATAAACTACGAGTAAACTATCAGATTCCAAACTAAAACTAAAGTGGTTGTTTTGCCTTGTAGTGTACCAATGTACTTCTTCTTTCAAATATATAAGATCAAATCACAAAATTAGTGTTCAATCTTAGAGTCACGAAAAAAGTGGATATTGTCACTGTGACGTCGCCCATTGGTTTGCGGAATATGGTTTGAAGCCCAGACTTTAGTCTTGACATTTTCAATCGACCATAATGTTCCAATTAACATCCATGAACTGATAACACACTGTGAAAAAGTAAAAGTTCTAAGACAAAAACCATGACAACACCCCAAGCGGACAACACCGTGGTAGGTACCAACCTGTCAACAAGAAGTTAGCAACGCCCTTATATTAGCATACCTTGCTTTATCATCTAATTCAGTCCCAATGGGATCATGATTGACTAAATGGACATCATGTTATATTGAAGGTATATAGAGAAAATACAATTTTTAGCTAAATATTTATGTTACTAATAAATTAGGTGACAAGTAGGATGGTTTTCGTGTAGACTTCTATACAATTACACTTGTGAAGCAGTAATGCATTGGCTTCATTTTTCAGACTTTTCAGACTTTAGTAGATAAGAAGCAGACATGGAGCATCCATTATTTGTATTTTCATTATACAACTATGCTTTAATCATTGCAGTGACATAATGTAACATCTGTGGACTACAGTACCTCCATGTTGGATACTCTCTTCACCACTGCGTCCATGTTGGGTGTAGTAGGATGTAAGGATGTCCACAAGTCCCATCATCTCCTGCTGCAGGGCATTGACTTTGGGGTCAGGGTGCTGTAGAGGTTTACCCTCCCTTCCTGACGCATGTTCTGCACACAAACACTCCCACTGCTTATGCAGCAGCCTCTTGATCTTTTTTATATGATGGGCGACCACTGCTGTTTCTTCTGAAGAGTCTTCAGGTTTAACAGACACTGCCAGGTCTTGTTGTTGACTTTTTTGTCCATTTGCAGAAACAGTTCTTGCATCTGGACTTGACACTTTGATATATGGTTCAAGGGATCTCACAACAGTCTCATCTCCATCCTGTTCTACCAGCACCCTCTCTGCATGAACCCACACTGCAGGGTTCCTGATAAGATTCTCCATCTTCTCATCTTTCCTCTTGCTCTCCTCTTGCTGCTCCTTTAGCAAACCTAAAGCTCTATGTAGCTCTAGGCCAGTCTCATGGAGCTTCTGCTCCAGCATAGCTACCTTAGCCTGCAGGGACGTCACCGTCAGCAGCTCATCCAGATCTGTACTAGTCCTCCACTCGTGCATGGGATTAGAGTCTTCTCGACTGATCTGGTGATTTCTAGGAAACATGACGTGACTTTCATGCCGAGGCCTTTTGATATCCATAATGCCGTAATTGGAGGAGGTGTTACGGTCTGTGGTTCCATTCATTGGTGGGGTTTGAATCTGTGGTTTTAATCCCAGTCGGAGCCTTTCTCTTTCCTCCTGAAGGATGCAGATATGCGCCCTGAGCTCTGGAACCACCCTCACCTCCATCTCCAGCTCCCCCACACGTTCAAGAGCCTCGGTCAGGCGTCTCAACAGCCCTGAGCAGTCCTGGGATCGAGGGCTGGCCGAGGAGTAGAATACGTCTTCACAGGAGGGGTTTCTCTCCCCAAGGTGGTCCCTCGAACTCCGGAGGCTTCCGGGCTCGTCTGTGGACTCTGATCCCTGCCTCAGTAATACTGTAAGTGGCATACTGGAGGCCCGGAGGAGATGAGGTCTGATGTGCTCACCCAAAGGTTGCTCATCAAACTCCTTGATTCTGGCCTCCATCTCTGCCAGAGATCGGAGACCTGTGGGAGAACGTTGGGATCTCTGATCATTTGCCCAGGAATTGTAGCCATAGTGATGGGCGTCTGACAGTCTTGACCTTGGGCCAAGAGCTCCAGTAGATCCCCAGGGGCTTGGGCGGTACCCGCACCCAGAAGGGTTGAGATGCCTGGGAAGAGTGCTGGCTCGGGGGCCTTTGCTTCTACGCTGGATTGGTACTCTTTTGATTGTGTTGCCTTTCTCTATGTCATCCACGTATTTGAGGAAGTCCAGGTCAAGTTGAAAGCCATAAGGGGTTTCCACTGAGTACGGGGGCTTCCCTCTAGTTCCATTTTCAGTGGTTTTACGGTGCAAGATACTTCCTGTAAACATTAAAACAGTAATTTAGTATCCTTAACCAATTAGGAAAAAATGTGTCATGTTTTGGACTTTCTTTTTACCGTTTTGTCCTTCCATCACTTCTTTGTTGTCAGTTGTTCAAACAATTTGCTACCACATTATCTGGTTGGACTTTTGGTACCTGGCAAAACAAACAAAATACATTAAATTGTATGAGGGACACATGGAGAACACATGTTAGGTTTTTTTGTAAGTGGCAGAATTGGTAACTGTGTGGTTATACAAAAAATAATAATTAGATTAATGAATCCTGAGTGTCATTTTGGCAATGACATTCACTCGAGGTTTAGCTGTGGTATCTTTGGTGGGAAACTTCATCATATTTTATTGACCAGACGGAGGAGCACTCTAAACAGCAAAAACCCTTTTTTGTACTCCATTCACAATCGGCCTCTTATTCATTCTCCCACATATAGCAGGAAGCACCACAAACATTCAATTACACTTGAATGATTGTTCTCTTTTGCTCAGTCCCATTCTCTTCCCAAATAATTCTGTTTTTCTCACACTCTCACTGCTTCATTTCTTCCATGCACAGGCTGCTGTTATTCAACAGTGGCAGGCCTGATGTTCACTTGATTACAGCCCTGCCATCCAGGACCAGAGCTGAGAATAGCTGAGGACTCTTCAGCCCAGCAGCTATGGCCAGCGGTGAAAAATATACTCCTACAGACATAAATACAGACAACCATTGTTGTGACTCACTACTTCCCTCCCTTGCTCTCTCCGTGTCTCCTACTAGGTCTACAGTCTCTTTGTCAGATTATTGGTTCACCTTTACCTAACTGTCTTTGAATGTAACTTCCTTCTCCGCTCTATTTCATAAAAGTAAATTTCTCCTCTATTCTGCTGACTTTCCATTTTACTCTTCATATAATAGAGAATGGTCTATACAGTTATGGCTGCCCTTACTTCCTACCTCCCTCCTCCCATGTCCCCCCCGCCCCTCTCCTGACCACCAGCCCCTGTGGCAGCTCAATGTCCTCTTGAGGCACCACAGCCACCGAGCCGCAGCCCCAAACAATGTCAGCTATGCAGTAAACAGACAAACACCGCCAAATGGCTCTGCTGGGAATTTTGACAACCGATATTCACACAATCTCTGATGGCGAGCGAAGCTAAGAAACCTGCAATAAACAGATACTAGTGCGCACATGTACGTGTACATGTTCACGTGAAATGTTGCAAATGTACGTGCAGAGATGCAGGTCCCACATGAACATTATCTATACATGTGGTTCTACACCAGGGCTTATTGAGGTAGTTCCAGGAGGCCCCAAGAAGAATGGGGAATATTTTCATAGCGGGATTGATAAAGGAAATGTCATTACTACAATTCAAAACCAAAATAGGTTTTGACACTAGAAAGAAAAAGGAAAAAGTGAAGAAAATAATGATAATCAAAAATATTTGAGGCCAAATGTTGTTACTCCACAGCTTCAGACACGATGCAAAGTGCACATTTCTGTTGGTATCATAAAAGTAAACAACTCTAAGTAAGTAGGTAAAAAGTCTAAAAACCCTCATCAAATATAAACTTATATAACTAATCATGTAACCACCCATTTTTTATATTTTAAAATAATTATTCTCTTGATAGGATTTACCACAGTATAATTCCTTCTTACTGTATGTTCTCTTCTGTCCCTTACACAGAAACCTATGTGGTATACTGTACATTGAAACTGATACAGTACGTATGTTGTTAATGCCAGTGGGCCTTTATGATGTTGAGTGGAATCTTTCAGCACTCGATCTGACAAGTCTAAATGTAGCCTATACACGTGGGTGTTAAACTAAAGTACATGTCTAGAGATGAGACCCAGACATGTGTCTTCATTTTACAGTCAATTGAATGCCATTAAATGCCCTCACTGTAGAAAAACAACCTGGGAGGACAAGAAGATCAATCATTTTGTCTAGAGCTAGAGAGGCATTAAGAGGTAACAAAAGAGCCTAATTTAGACTACAGGCAGAGGGTGTATTCACCATTGACTGTAAATCTGCACTGTACAGCAGAACACCTGTTACTGCTGACATCTCTATCGGCCTCACTGAGATCTCAGTCATTAGGTTGAGAATGCATGCTGCTGGCAACAGTTCAAGACAAATTATTTTACATTTGGGCCTCGAAGCAAAGTGGTTTCATCCCACGATTTGACATCTACCTTGGAGAAAGTATTTCAAAAAAATGAGTTATTGCAGAGGTTGGAAAATATCCACTTTTATTTGCTTGTTTAGAGTTGAGGAGAAGATGAATATCACTCTCTTTTTCTGTACGTTACATGTTAAGCTACTAGCCGGAGACGTAGCTTAGGTTAGCACAATGACTGGACACGGGGGAAAATAGCTAGCCTGGGTTTGTTAAATCACAACTAAAGTTTTTATTTATCAAACTAATAAGATTAGACAAAGCAGCATGCAAATTAGTGAGGCATAGATGTGCTTGTAGGTTTTTCTACCTTTAGAAAGATACAGGCTAACCTTTTCCTTCCCGTCTTTATGCTAGGCTAAGCTAGCTGTATCATGGTTGTAGCTTCGCATTTTTAGCACAGCTAAGAGAGTTGTATGGATACTGGTATTGAATCTGTATAATAACATTCAGAATCAGAAATGCATATTTTAAGACCATTCATCGTCCTGCATTCAGACAATAATGCAAACTCCTGCAGCCCACATGTTTCTTACATAAGATAGACTTTCTGACCGGTTAACCACAGAGGAAACAATATAGTAGAGTTAGAGATAGGGAATTCCCAAGAGTCATTGCCTAACTGTCTCCACAATTCTGTGGCACAGGTTTTAATTGTGTATGCTAGGATAAGTAGGCCCACCTCACAGGAAACCCAAGAAATTAAACATAAAAAATGTGCCTTACCCCAAAATGGCCCCAGCCAATGCTGCCTCTGCAGTCTGCACATATTGAGCTCAATCCAAAGTCAAGCATCAGACCGAGTTACATTTTTTCTTGACTTTCAAAATCAATGTTTCCTTTGTATCCAGCTAAAGCTCTGGCTGTTTTTTAGGAAATGTAGGAAATGGCAAAGCTTTTTTTAGGGTCCCTTTTACTTTCTTTGGGTTGTTTTCATCTTTCTGTTCCCACAACAGCTGCTCTCCCCCTCTCTGTAAATGTGTCCCTCCTCACACAGACCCTTAGACGTTCTGCATCAGCAAAAACCTCATAATCACAACATCTCAATCCACAGCATTCTTTACTAAAGCCACAAATTAAATTTGAACTCATGATACAGTAAGACTGGCGACCTAACTCTGAAGCAATGCTAAATGCTTCAACCTCAGATAAGGACTATGGGTTCATTCTAAATTCAAAATGTAGGTCAATAGCAGCTAACCTATGGGTTAGTAACTGGTGGTAGTAGCAAAGATATGTATCATTGCTCAGTTTTAGCCGTGCTAGCGGCATGGCTCTGATGACAATGTTAGTTGGTTGTTCTGCCACTTTGGATACAGATTTTGACCTTATAGTCTTGGTCGCCAGATGACCAATTCTTAAGACTTTGGTGATCCAAGGACTTTTTGTTTAGTGCCACCAGGAGGTTGAACAAAAATGAAGGAATGATGATATTATATGTATTCCCATGGAATTTCATACACATTCATCTCCCCCTAGGCACTGATCTAATCTATCTTTTCATCTAGTACTCTTAAAAAGTAAATGTCAAACGCTGGTTAATGATACAAAAATTACAAAACTAATGACATTGCCAACAGCCTCAGCTCTAGCCTGTTTTTTTACTTTTTAGCAAACATAGGCATGCTAACAAACTTAAATAAGACGTGAACATAGGCATAGCATTGTCATTGTAAGCCTGTTACCAAAAGGATGTTAGCATCTAGCTCAAAGCACACCTGTGCTCTAAATGCAACCTCACAGTTTTTTATTGTTTACAATTTAAGGCCCCACATACATCAATAACTTTGATATGTTTGTTTCCATGGGTTAACATGTGGTGACCTTGCAGAGCTGTCAGTTTGAATTCCATATCACATTGTCCCAGCCAACATCCCATGTGTTCTGTGTTTGGACAGAGCCTCTTCTTGACACTACTTTAATGTGTGCACTTTGAGACACTAAATATAAGCCTGAACAGTGAGAAACTGTTTCCCCATGGTCTTTGCCAATCTCTGTCAATCCGTCTGTACACTTTGTATATCTGCATGTTTCCTTGTTTTGTTCCCGTAAAAATCATTCCTTTCCTCCACTTTTGGCTGTACAGACTGCGGTTCTCTCCAGTGCATAACTCTAAACCTTGACTTCTGTTCAGAGTTGATTTAGGAACTAAAACCAACTGTTTGGACATTTTCCACTCCAGCTCCCAAATATGTCTGTTCTTTTTCTGCCTCCAAAGATGTCCTAGAAAAAGTTCTATGATGTGTTTTTAAGTTTGTATGTCTAAGTCTTTGGATTTTAGACTGCTTGACTCCTGGTCTTTGTCCAACAGCAGCAGGGTCACAGTTACATTGTGGCATCTAAGCCCGGTTGTGTGGTATGTGGAGCCAAAGCTCATAGGATGAAACAGCTGCCAGGGGCTTCATGCAAGAAAGAAAACTATGGTATGTTAACATGGAAAGGTTAAAATAGAAAGCTGCCGTGTGTGTGTGTGGCTTCACATTGACATCTGTTTCTGTTGGTTCAAGTACATTTCTGTACATGAAGTGTAAATCAAATGTAAATATATTCCAACTTTTAATCTTTAAAAGTCAACTTAGTCTCTTGAAAGCCTTATTAGTATTCAGCACAGGCCGATAGGTCCACTCTATGCAATTTGTTAAATCACTTTATTGTCAAAAGCTACTCGACCCTGAATTTAAATAAGCGTGTCCCAAATTGAAAAACCTTCAAGGTCAACATCTAGCATCTATCCGATCCAACTGTCCTCCGATGAGTAAGATATATGAGATGAATATTAAACCAGACCTTACCTGGTGGCAGCAGTTCTTTCCACTCTGTGTTGATGATGTGCGTCAGACACTACAGGCTGCTCTCAGCTCCGTCTGTCTGTCTGTCTCCTCAGAGGGCAGGGGGGTGCTGTCAGGGAGAGAGGCATGCCGCGGCTGTTTGGTGAATGCCTATGTGCAGCTCCTGCCATAACAGAAGCTGGGTTTGCTCGTGTGTAACAGAGAGCAGGGTGGGGCTTGTGAGCATTAAGCCTTCCTACGATGAGGAGTCATAAGTGGGTGGCTAGGCGTAGACAGCCACACCCATTCCTTCAGACGACAGCAAATAGAAGTTCAGAGGAGTAGCCCGCCGGGAATGACAGCAGTTCTTCTGGGACCATGGTGAAAACATGTCAATATATGGAGCATCTGGCAAAGGCAAGCAAGAGAAAGTACCAGTCACCTTACTGTGTACCATCCATAATCCTCTCAGATAACATCAGTGGCCACGCAGTGCCTCAAAGACCCCCCTCGGTCAGAATGTGTAACCCTACCCAGTGTTATTTGGTGTCTGTCCTCTATAATCAAGTAACCAGGGGGGAGAGCTGAGGGCTTGGTGTCTATGAGGGTTCATTCTCTCAGTGCATACCTCTCATTCTTCATGGATCCACTTTCAACCCACAACACATCTTCCTTTGGGGCAAAGCCATCATGCCAGGAAAGCATTTCTTCTGCTCCTCTTAAAGGCAGTGGACCACCCGGACCATCTACAAACAACCTGTATCAATTACCATGATCTATGGGTGTAACTCTTTTCCATGTGTCATCACCATTCATATTGTCGCTTTATGAACAGTTAAAAGCATTACACTAAATTCTTCAACTCTCAATTTTGATTACAAGGAAACACGATATAGGCATTTAAAGAATAACCAATGAAAAGATTGCTATGTACATCATACAATAGAGCCTACAAAATAACAACATAGGGTACACTGGGCCATCCTTTATTAAAGAAAAGGATATAATGCTGTCCCATAATTCCTTGTGGCAAACGGTTTTGGAATGGAAACCTTAGTTGAATTGTGCAGCATGGTCATGGTACTGAATTTCTAACTTTTAAAAAAGCATCATTAGCCAAGTATAGGTTTTCTCTCGTTACTGTAATTGTCTTTTTTTTAAATCCCTTTGATTCGCCTTCACATCTGTCTTTGACCTCGTGACTTTTCGAACAAGTTCAAGAAAAAGTGGTAAAGAGGTAATGATTCAAATACTGCTAGCTAAGTTATTTGCTAAATTAATAGCTAAATTAATAGCTAAATTATTAGTTAGCTAGCTAACATTGTGAACATGATCATTTTAAAACCAGCTAAGCCTTGATGCATGATAGTATTAACCACTGTTTGCAACAGGCTTGGGCAGTCACAGATTACATTTAACCAGATTGCGTAACCAGAATAAGTGTGAATCAATACGCCGACTGACTGAATTTGCATTATGGTTACTACTTTGGTTCATTTCATTTTTGTTATTCAGTATGTGAACGCATATGTTCATAAAATAGTGTGTGTGAACTTAAAGGTGGGGTAGGTAATTTTGGAGAAACCAGCTCGAGTGCGCTAGAATTTGAAAATACACAGCCGGAAAAAATCTGCCACTTCCTCACAGAGCCCCTCCTCCAACACACACGAACGCGCACATGACCAATGAGGGCACGAGATAAGTTTGTGCACAGATGGAAGGCTGACAGGCAGGTAGGCCATCCAGTTATTTTAGCCGGGCCGGCTAAAATGATTGGTCGTACTTTTTACAGTATTACGGCTTCCACAGATGACATTTTTTAATGGATTTTTTGTCAAAGAACTTAAGATATTCATTGCTATCGGGATGTTAAGAGCATTCCATGGAATATAACAAAAAGTGTATCTCGAGCCGGTTTCTCAAACTTACCTACCCCACCTTTAACTGTATTAAACTAAAACGGACCCTTTTTTGTTAGCTTTTATTTTTATTTTTGTTTTTTTAAACTGTAATATGTGCTCATGTGTTTCATTGTTGGTGTATAAGCTACTGCCTGAATATGCTGAGGACACATTAAATGTTTCTGTTGTTTTATATAATACACTACAAGGGCACCTATTATGCAAAATGCACTTTTTGATGTCTTTTATACATAAATATGTGTCCCCGGTGTGTAATTATTACTGGCCCCGTGCATCTCCTAATCGTTATAACCGGCCTGCTCTCGTCTATCCCACATGCTCCACTGAGATCCAACATCTAGTTACAGGTGGCCTGTGGAACTGCCAGTCAGCTGTTCCTAAGGCTGACTTCATTTATGGCTACGCTTCCCTGCAGTCTCTGGATTTCCTTGCTCTCACTGAGACCTGGATTACTCCATCCAACACAGCCACCCCAGCAGCTCTCTCCACAGCATATTCCTTCACCCATACACCCAGACCCACTGGCAGAGGAGGTGGCACTGGTCTCTTGCTCTCTCCCAAATTGAGCTTTTCCCTCTACCAACTACCTAACTTCACTCCTTCCACCTTTGAATTCCATGCCGTTACTGTAAAGGCCCTGACACACCAAGCAGTCACAAGAGAACTCGCCGTGTTCTCCTGCGTCATGGCCATGTGTCGCACTGGAACACACCGCAAAGACTTCAGCCGAGCACGTACGAACTGCGCATGCGTGAGTGGCAATAACTCTCCTTACCAGCAGGCGGCGGTAGTGTGTATTCGTCATTCAAAAGAGGCAACAACCGGAAGACAGAGAAGAAGAACAGACTGCGTGATCTAAACAAACAACAAATAGCGTGTGCGTTCCATTTTCACTCTCGTCCATCGAAAACATGTTTTGTGCGGTACTGGAGCTATCAGCCATTGGACTCTGAAGGACTCGAAGGACTCGAAGGACTCTGAAGGACTCTGAAGGACTCTGAAGGACTCGAAGGACTAACGGACTCATAAGGACTCTAAAGGACTAACGGACTCACTCCACACAAGGGTGGCCATACTAAAAACACACAAACTAATTTTTCTGTCTGTAAGCTTCGGGAACAAGTTTGTACACTGTGAGGATGGCAGTTTTAACGGAGTCATAATCAAGACTTTCCTCCAACGAAAGAGCAGCTACTGCTTCCTGACTTCCAGCTGGAACTGTGTCTGCCTGCTCTGCTCTCTGTCTGTTGCCTCTAACTGGAGACGTGCGAGACGGACCTTTAGTTTAGCCCCCTCTCGGGAGTCTACGGAGCTACCAGGGAATAGAGGTTCATGGCGAGGCAACGTGAGCGATGGTGTAAACCGCCCGTCGTCCTCACTGTCACCACCCTCTGCCTGAGCAGCTGAAGGCTCCGCCTCAAACTTCTGTGTCTTCCCAGTTTTAGTTAAAGCATCAGACGGTGCAGGCGGCACAAGATTACCCCTTTCCACCAACTCATCCACAATGACAGCCTTTGAATCTACTTTTAATAACTGTCTTGCCCCAGTGAGCCTGAAGTGTTGAGCAATCTCTAACAGGTCTTCCTTACGACACTGATCTAGCTGCTCGATTGAAGGACTGATTAAAAAGGACTCCAAATTAAAAGATGCCATACTCAGGTGAACTGCACTCAAAGTGTTACCTAAATGTTACCACCAAAACCCACTTATAACCCCAGAATTCAAGTGAATTTATCTCGGACGAGCCCCCATTTTCCTTCTGAAACCCAGGTCGTCGCACGCATCTCTGCTTGTCTAGCAGACATCTCTCAGTGGATGTCTGCTCACCACCACAAGCTCAACCTTGACAAGACTGAACTGCTTTTTCTTCCAGGAAAAGAGTGTCCCACCCTTGACCTAACAATCAACATCGGCCCCTCTGTTGTTTCACCGACTCAGACTGCAAGGAATCTGGGTGTGACCCTAGATAACAAACTGTCCTTCACTGCAAACATCGCTGCTACAACCCGCTGCTGCAGATACACTCTTTACAACATCAGGAGGATACGTCCCCTCCTGACCCAGAAAGCGACGCAACTTCTGGTCCAGGCTCTCGTCATCTCACGCCTTGACTACTGCAACTCCCTCCTGGCTGGTCTACCTGCATGTGCCATCCGACCTCTGCAGCTCATCCAGAATGCAGCGGCTCGTCTGGTCTTCAACCTTCCTACATGTTCCCACACCACACCGCTCCTCTGCTCCCTTCACTGGCTTCCAGTAACTGCTAGAATCCACTTCAAGACACTGGTACTTGCGTACCATGCTGTGAATGGATCTGGCCCTTCCTACATCCAGGACATGGTTAAACCATACACCCCAGCAGGTGCACTACGCTCGGCGTCAGCCAAACAGCTCGCTGCACCCGCACTGCGAGGGGGACCCAAGTTCCCATCAGCAAAAACACGTCGGTTTGCTATCCTGGCTCCAAAATGGTGGAATAAGCTCCCCATTGGCATCAGGACAGCAGAAAGCTTACACATCTTCCGGCGCAGACTAAAAACTCATCTCTTTCAACTCCACTTCGAGCAATACAATTACTAACAAAGCACTTGTATACTAAAAAAGGACTGGCTTATCTAAAGCCAGTTGAGTAGCACTTGAAATGTTTTGGCTCTATGAAACCTAATGTACTTATATGATTCTGTTTTCTTCTAGTTTGTATCTTCTTGGTCGAATGCACTTATTGTAAGTCGCTTTGGATAAAGGCGTCAGCTAAATGCAATGTAATATAATGTCATGGAATGTAAGGAGACTGTGACGAAGGTAACTTTGTCACTGTGGACTGACGGCTTCGGGGCCTTGTAACTCAGCACTTTAGTGAACAGTTTGCACTTTATTAGCGTGATTGCACAGTACCGTTTGGCATGGCATATTTGCACATTTTATATAATTTATACTAATTATTGAGATAGTATTTATTAAAGGATTAAACCGTATTAATTGAAATGTCGTCTGGCAGGTGCTGGTCAGGTCCTCGGCTCCCCGGACAAGATAGGGGAGTTAGCGAGAGCGCCGAAAGTGCTTATGCTGGTGTAGAATGACAGCGGTTAAGAATAATCCGGGTGCAAATAATATGTGAGGGTGTAGAAATCATAGCGTTAAGTGGCATTAATTGTAC